ATGTACAGCAATCAGACACAAGTGCTAGAAAAAGGAAATAAGTGAAAGTGTCGCTCCTCGCCGAGCTGCTTGGTTGCCTGCTTCCTCCTCTTGGCGTCTGAGTCATGTTGTGTAGCTGTCAGGGGGCTTCATCATTATTCACAGTGAGCGCGGCGTTGGGAGCGCGCCGCAGCCACATTCACCGCCCGCCTATCGCCTTCTGCTGCAGAGAGGATGTTCAGACGAGCGCAACGTATGTGTTGTTTATGTGCTCGGTAGTGTGTGTGTGTGTGTGTGTGTGTGTGTGTGTGTGTGTGTGTGTTAACATTGGTGCGTGTTTTGAGTGTGGGAGAGAGAGCAGGACACACCAGCAGAGCGTCATATAACCTGCTCGTTCTCCACTGTATGAACATGCAACATGTGCACACGTGTTATTTGTGCGTATGAGTTTGGGAATATGTGTGTCATGCCCAAGGATGTTTTTATTGATTGACGGCTGCAATGGAGAGAAGGGGGGAGAGAGCGGGGGATGACTGAGGAGAGAGAGAGAGAGAGAGAGAGAGAGAGAGAGGCTGAGTGGAAACAAAGAAATCAATCAGCCTGTCCTCTGAGTTTATGAGGAGGAGGGAGAGAGGAAGAGGGGATAGAGGAGAAGAGAGCGCGACAGAAGATGAAAGAAGAGGGAGAAGGAATGGTGAGGAGAGGAGAGATGAGGAAAAGGGAGAAACAGAGGATGAGAGAGGAGAGAAACAGGAAGAGGGCAAACAGAGAGGAAAAGGAAGGGGAATAGCTAAAAGGGAATGAAAGGAGAAATGAAGGGCAGCAAAGGGGAAAGACAAGAAGAGGAAAAAAGGTGACGCTAGAGAGCAGAGGAAGGAGGAGAAGATGAGAAGAGGATAGGAAGGATGCAGAGGAGACAGTAGATCAAGAAAATGGGAAAGAAGAAAGCAAGAGAGAAGAGGTTGAGAGGAAATAAAGATGAGGAAAGGATGCTGAAGGAAGAGGAGAGGAGTCAAGGAGGGAAAGTGAAGGAAGGAAGGAAAGGACAAGTGAGGGGAGAAGAGGAGAATGAGAGGAAAGGAGGGATGTGCTGAGCAAAGGAGTGGTGGAGGGGGACGAGTCAGCCGCACGTGAGGGGGATGTGAGCTGCATGCTAAAAACACACACACACACACACACACACACACACACACACACACACACACACACACACAAGGTGAACACACCTGCATCAGCAGCTGGAGGGAGAGGATGCAGTGGGAGGGTCTTATAGAGGGCATCCTCTCCCCTCTCATCTTCCCTTCTTCTTCTTCTGCTGCTTCTCTATCAAGTCACGACTGCCCTCGCCCCTCCTTCTCCCCATTGCTCCTCCTCTATCGCTCTCTCATCTCTCTCTTCTGACCCACATCTCTTTTCCTCCTCCGTTTCACAGTCTTTTCCATCCCCTTCCTCGTCCTTCCTGCATTTACCCTTTTTCTTTCCGTTCCTCCCTCCTTACTTCAGTCCGCGCAGCTCCTTCTCCTCCTGCTGTTTTCCTTCTTTTCTCCCTTTATCCTTCTCTCTTCCCCCTCATTACACTCCTCTCCTTCCATCGCTCCGTCCTCTCTTTTTCTCTCCACTTTGCTGATTGGCTCTTTGATCATGTCTGCTCTGTAATTTATGAAACCATGAATGATATCAGCTCATGTTATCCATTCCTTGACCCAAATAAACAGTCCTCACACAGACCGAATAAACACACACACACGCACGCACACACACACACACACACACACACACACACACACACACACACACACACACACACACACACAGTGAGGCACAGTGGGAACATTTGTACTATGAGTGGTATGAGGCCATAAATTAAAGCACTACGAGCAGTCATCATTAATACAACATGATGATATAGAGTATTTCCTAACTGAAGCTGGTTTTTGGGATGAAGTGGAACGTGTGTGTGTGTGTGCGCGTGCATGTGCGCGTGCGTGTTTAGATGTGCACACCGGAGTGTGAAGAGCAGAGGATGTTAGTGGAAACAAGCTCTGCAGACATAACTGGTAATTAAGTAGGCTTATTGTAGAAAATACAAAAAAAAATAATAATATCTTTTAGCTAGGTAATAAGTAATTATTATTATCAGTACATTTAAAATACATTGGAATGAAAAGAAAATTTTTTTTTTTTTTTAATCAAAGAAAAAAGTAAGTGCTAATTGGAGAGCATTCACAATACATTGAAATGAAAACACAGGGTGGCAGGAGCACTACATAATGAGAGGAGAACGGCAGGGCGAGTGACAGAGGATCATGCACTGCTGTGTAGAGGCAGAGATAATGAATTATTATATTGTAAATTCATCGTCCATGTGTACACTGTTAGTTTATAGAGGAGGAGGGAAGAGAGGAGGACTGTCAGTGTGTCAGCATACGCTTTTATATCAACATATGCATATTCATTATCCGCTGATGAAAGTAGACCATGCTGCGTTCAGTCTACTGTCTCAGTTTACTTTTTTAATCATGAAATGCTAAACTTTTGCTACAGTTAGCGTCAGTAAGCTACAGTATCATTAGCTCGCTAGGCTAAGACTAATTTTAGCGTATTTGCAGACGTCACTGACGGTACTGTAACTATGTTCAGTTGTAACCTTCTAAAATACTGTACATGTATTGTTCTGAATAGTGTTATTAATCTCATTTTTAAGGTTGTTTTTAGAAAAAGTCTAGTCCAACTAAAGGTTTGTGGTAGTTTTAAGGACGCCTTTGGTTCACCTTCAACATGTCAAAGCATTGTTAAATACATTTAGTGACTCACTTAATGTTATATCATAATGTTATATACTTTCAGGTGAAAACCTTGTGACAATAAATACCAACAGAAAGAACCATAGAGGCAATGTGCAGTTTAGTCGGTCAGCTGCAGATGAGATTACCACTGAGGAAACCTGATAGTAAATGAAAAACATCCGTTGGATTCAGTTTGAAACAGGATTGGTGTAACTGGTCGACCCTGTCTGCTCTCCCAGTGAGATGAATGGGAAAACAAATGTGTGTGTGTGTGTGTGTGTGTGTGTGTGTGTGTGTGTGTGTGTGTGGGGGGGGGCACATAAGTGAATGAGATACAGAAAGACCGGTAACACGCCATGCTTCCTCATCACACATACAATAGGACACTGATCCGTTGCCTAGCTCATGCACACACGCACACACACACACACACACACACACACACGCACACACGCGCACACACACACACACACATTCAGCAAGTACACAATGCTTGTAAAAGAAAAAAATCCAGTCTGACTGCTTTCTTTCCCCACATGTTCCCTCCTTTTCTACTGCGTCTCATACTATCCTTTCCTCCTTCCTCAAAATGTTCCTCCTCCCCCCAAGAGACCACAGTAACTTCCCCTCACACTGAGTCACGTACACACACTTCCTGCTCTTCTCCTTTTTTCTGTTCTCTTCTGTGACGTGGCTCAGTGTTTCTGAGTCTCAGCCATGTGCTGTGACTGCAGGCCACGTGGCTGCTAACTTCTGACTGGAACGTTATTTTAGTGGAGCACAAAGTGGGGCTCTTGTGGGGTTTCAGGGTTTCTTTAGAGTGTCTGAAGAGTTCTTGACCATCGTCCAGGGGTTTTTAAGAGGTTTCCATGTGTTAAGAGCGTTTTGAGAAAGGTGGTTGTCGAAGTTCAGGGGGCAGTTAAATGAGGCTTTGGGAAAGTCTTTAGGGGGTTTCTTTTTTTGTTGTTGCTTACTTTAGTGTTCTTCTGGGCATTCAGGCATCATTCATAGGTTTTTAGATGGTTCTAGTAGAGTCTATATGTTTTCAACAGGGTTCCAGAGGATCTTGAGGATGTTTCATGGATAAGGAGGAATGAAGGGCTGGCCGGGTCCTTCATGACGTTGAAGTGTTTTCAAAGAGATTTTAGTTTCACAAAGGGGGTTCTAAAGTCCTAAATGAGGTTTATAGGGGTCCATCAAACAAAAGCATTAAAAAATAATTTGTAAAATGAATTAAAACTTTTCTCATGATCATAAAGCAATGCATTTCCACTGAAATACATTCTCCATAATATTTAGAGTGGCCTGAAATAATCATCATTGGATTGTTTATATTTTATGTACATGTAATTCTTGAGACTTCCCTGACAGCATATAAAAACAAAGATTGATCAACCATGTGCCACCGTGACCGAGGTGGCCACGGATTAACACACGCTCCACCGGCCAAGGGGAACTAATCACCTGAAGACCTCTTGGGTCACGGTTGCATGTTGTTGTGAACTACAGGGAGATGTGCAGGATAAATGCTCGAAGACGCTTCCAGATAAGTGCTGCTGGTGTATGTGATATATTTTCGGACTAATCCTGCATTGTGCTGGGGCCGATGCCTCTGTTGGTTTCAGTGTCGAACCTCCTCTAACATGAAAGTCTCATTATCTATAATGAGTAGCTGTTGAGAGATGAGGGGCTGTTGATGAGAGCTCCTTGTGACTCCGACAGTGAACAGTGTAATAATATACAGTATATGCCAGGCTACGGAGGCTTTTATCCAAAGTGCCTCACAGTACTTCAACTGCATACATATTTTAGAAAGGATAGCCCAATGGGAACTGAACCCCTAATTCTAACAATGGCAGTGCTGCGCTGAGCGTTGAACTTCACAGAAAACACCAACTCTGGCATTCTCATAGAGGGAGCATAATTATTTCCCATGTTTGGTAGCTTGTGTTTCAGAGAGCAGTGGTTACAGAGAAAACATCATTTCCTTTGTGATCGCACAAGAGAGCCAAGCAGCAGACACAAGTGACGCATGCGAACTTGTTCATTTCTCACCAAGCATCTTTCCAGCTGTGATCAGCACCTCCAGTTTTTTGGGTTCATGTTTTACAAAGTGACTCCTGCACTTTTGTAGCATCTCAAAAAAGACAAACCGCCTGGGAATTCTTTGCTTTAATCTCGATGTTTGACTAACGTGACCTTTCCCTCTCTCTCCATCTCTTTTTCCGTCTTCAGTATGGGGAGGAGGAGGTGTGTTCGGATCGTTTGGACACTGACTTCCCGGACATCGACCTCTCCCAGCTGGACACCAGTGACTTCGATAGCGTCAACTGTCTCAGCGAGCTACAGTGGTGCAACGATCATTCGGCGGACGTGTCACCGGCCTCCATCCACTACAGTACAGCAGATGAGCTCTTTGAGGTGAGGCTTCATCACCAAAACACAGTTCAGATATACTGTACAACTGATGATTCTCTCAAGTCAGCCATGGACACGTTCTTCTACATGGCTGAGGGCTGCCATCAAAAGGCATCAGAAATATGCGTTTTCTCTAAAATACATTTCTTCTAATTTCTTAATTGATGGTAGTCATGCTTTTATGACAAATGTTATTGCTTAAATGTGTTAAAATGAACAGAATGATGTTAATAAGATTCATCAGTGGATTGATTGAAATTTGGTGTACAAGCTTCTGGTTCTCTAAGAAATCCATGCAACATTCAAAAGGCACAAACAAGCCCTTGCACAAGAAAGGAATTCCCTTCATCAACACATTCAATTCCAGATTGCTTCAGGTTTAAAGCTAATCCACAAAGTTGGCCCCCTGAAGCCGTACTTTAAAGTTCCTAAAATCCGATTTCATTTTGAAAAACATCCTGCTGGACCCCTAAACACAACATTAGTGATTCAGCAATAATATGTGGCACCGTTAATGGCTGAACCCATTGCTTAATGTCTCGAGGACACATGCTTGAAAATAATTTGTGGACTTCATGTTGTGCAGTGTTAGTCAGTAATACAGCACTGCCCCACAGGGGTGCCTAGGGATTTCTGTTCTTCAGCTTGGGTTAAGTTTAATGGATGAGATGGGGGTGGCTGGCATTGTGTAAACTTTTTAGTTCTTAATAATAGAAATCACAGAAATCTTGTCTGCTTCTTGGAAGTGTTTGTCCATTGGATCCTAAACAGATTTGGCAAGAGATGCAGGGTAGATGTGAGGTCAGAACGTTTGCCCTTTGTTCGGTGTTCGGGGGAAGTAACTGCCCTATGAAGAGTTTCACTAACATGTGAGGGCAAATTCCCCATTTTACCATTTTACCACCACAGTCACTGCAGAATATTTTTTGTGAAATGAGCAAAGCATAAGGTGCAAGGCCAGATTCATGCAGCAGAACTCCTCATTTAAAAAAAAACTATGGTCAGGCCTTTTTGAGCAGTCTAACTAGAAACCAGTGGATGATTAGCCTGAATCTGTTGTATCATAATTTTTATCTTTTGCCTCTTGTATTGAATATCCTTGCCAACAAAGAAAAGAAATCTATGGTATGACCAAAAGGAAAGTTAATTTTTGTGACCAGGGCTGTTATATTACAATGTAAATGAAATGTTATTTTGGTTACTACTCGTATAGCACACTCCCAACTGCCCAGACCTTTAATGAATCTTGGCCTCATCAATCCTACGAGTTGGCTCAAACAGCCTGTTTGGAAAGTTTGGAACATTTAAACTCTGAAATTTAGACATGCAGCATGTCTCAGAGGCTGCTACCAACTAAGTAATTCCCCGTTACGCTGTGCGTAATGTGATGGTGGAAGCAGTCCATCAGTTGGGATCAGCCTGCTGCTTCTACAGGACCAATGAGAGCCCTGAGGCTCCAGTATCAGGTGCCCTTGCTGGATGAATTCAGGGAATACCCTTCTTGTTTTTCTCTATATGAAAGCCAACCTTGGATCATTGATTGTCTATAGGTTTCCAGCCCCAGCGATGTCTTGTGGTCCTATTACAGAGGCTAAATTGAGTGCATCTTGAGAATAAAAAGACGGCAACAAAGGGATAAAGTAGCATTTAGGTCCAGATCATCGGCTATGTAATGCAACTCTGCTGGTGGAAATTGCTCTGATGCCGCGATGCATCGCAGAGTATTGGTTAAATGAAGACAGGCAAGACATGATGGGAATTCAGGTGAAGTAAACAGAGACTGTCTCTGTCTGTACTCTCTGAGTCTTTGTGTCTTTAGGGTTTTATTCTTATTTCGATCCCCATTAGCGGACGCCTGAGTGACTGTCTCTTCCTGCTGTCGACACAAAACTTTATGACACAGTTGGCATCTTAGGATAGAGTCCAAGTAATGCATTAACAGTAAGAGATATTGGTACTGACGAGAACATCTTTGAGAAAGAACAAGAGAGAAGACATGGAAACTTCTGTTTGTTTCCCCATTTTCCTTTCTCATATACTATTTTACTTATCTGTTATCGTCTTTTCACTCCATTTATCTTTTTCCATTTTACTTTATATGATTTGCTTCCTTGGTGTCTCTCACCCATATAATATACCTTTCTAACTGCTTTCTCTTCTTATTTTCCAGCTTATCATCATCTTGAACTTTCTGTTCATTTTACTCACTCTCATCATAACTAATTAAAGTCATATTTTATAGATCGAATATATAGTTTTAGCTTTTCATACCACCCCCTGTATCACATGCATAGAGCTTTCCATAGCGCTGCTGCCACCCACCACCCCAACCCCAACCCCTGCCCCGGCATATTATATTTTAGCCAATACTGTATTGATCAGACTAATACAGCAGAGCAGATGAGAAGACGGTCGGACGGCGTTCGGTTATAAACACACAGTAATGAATAGAGTGATAAGCGGACGGATGAAGCCCCCGGTGTCTCTGTCTCTCTGCTGTCCATCAATACGCCACTTATTTACAGTAGTGTATCGGAATTTAATCCCATGTTGGGCGGAATTGATCGTGTTTGTGTGTGGTAGGGCTTCATTTAACCTTGGTGAGTGTAGAGAGAGAAATGGATAGAGTGACAAAGGTTAGGTAATTATTTGTTATTACTTTAATAATAATAATAGTGCATATTAGTCTTTATTGTCAAGTAAATGATTATACGTTATGCTGACTTCTATATGTCATTTGTGTAACTTTCTTTGGCTCTCTGTTGCAGTCTCTGTTTTGTTCCCACTCACTGGAATCCAATTATTTTCCAGGAAATCTAATTAATATCCGTCTAATCTAATTAATATAGTCAGGTAATATCCGTGAGTGCTTTTGAGTTTCCAAACATACTAGTAACGCAGATAAAACCTTTCTGATTATGATATATCCACTGAGACAGATCGAGACACAAATGCAAATTAGAAAGAACTTTGTAGTATGAAAGATAGATTGTTAGATTCAAACCCATGCTTTCGGGTGCTACACACTATGTGGAAAAGTGAGTAAACTAGTTAGCTTTGATTATGCTTACTTATGATATCTATGTTTCTGACATCCTGTAGATAATTTCAAATTCTAAACCGCAGCGCCCGGCAAAGAGAGAGAGAGGCAGCAAGCCTGAGAGACAGAGAATAAATTTAATAATAAATAGTTTGGCAGCCGGGAACAGATAGAGCTGGATGATAAAAGGGAGAGACAGATGAATGGAGCTTGGTGGCTTCCCGTAGGCTAGCCATGCTATCACCTCTCCACCAGACTCTGCTCTCAGCAAGATGGCAGCTCCGAGACAGTAAACAACCCCTGTGTGGATGCAACAGGAGGGATGGAAAGATGGGAAAAGAACACATTTTGGACTAAAATTACTGATAAACAATATTTTCTGCTGATTATCTTTAAATTTGACCATTTTCATGCCTGAAAATTCTGAAAAATCCTGTACAGCATCATGGGAAACCAAACCCAAACAGTGGAGAGTCAAACTGGATTACAACATTATATGAGAGGTAGACAGAGACAACTGGTTGACTATTTTTAATGAAAGTCCTGTTTCAGCAAACCTTCTGCAAACCTGTGTATTGTTCTTTCCATTAAGGCCAAAGGTCAGAGTTACATCATCCCTGACCGCGTTAATAAATGAGACAGAAAAGAAGAAAGAAAGGACTTTAGATAACAGCTGATTAGAGTGAATGAGGTAGACGATAGAGGAGAGGGGAATTAAAGGAGTGATTCAGCAATGACACAGCTTCCAAAGGACTTTTTCTGTCTGCTGAGGATAATCATTTTTAGGTGTAAATGCAGTATACATAGTGTATGTACATTATGGTATGAACACTAATATACTACTTTATGGATGGTTATTTTCTAACCATCTCAATGACTCAGGGCTAAACGATCAAATGTGGCGGCCTGTAATTTCTGTAGATTAGGGGTTACGCATTGTGTAGGAAATTTAAATTGTGCATTTTTGAAATCTTTATCCATTACAATAGCTTGTCTGTATCTAATACAAACCTTGGTTCTCGCTATATGGCAAATACAAATAAAAAAAAAAAAAAACTGGGTATTTCTGATTTAGTAGTAGAAGTGTTAAAATGTGCTTTTTTTTTTTTTTTTGCTTAAAAATGAGCAAGTTAGCAAAGTCAGTTAGCAAAGGCCAAGAATGAACTTTCAATCTCTCAGCAACAGTTACTTAACAGAGCTTGTTGTGACGTGTTTTTCTCTTTAAACTCTATAATCCCACTGTATTCTCATCCATGTTCTCACTGTGTTCGACTCCCTACAGATAGAAGAGGAGAATGCGGCTCTGCTCGCCGCTCTGACCGACAGTTTGGATGGCATGGTGGATGCCGAGGTGGGCGGGCTCTCCGTCTTCCCCGCCCTGGGAGAGGAGCCTGACCAGGAAGAGGAAGAAGAAGACAGCCTTACTCTCACAGTCGAGGACTTCAGCCAGTCCCTGGGGGCCGAGACGGAGGACCCATCTCTCGTAAGAACGCCTTTATACTTCCTGTAGACGCAACAGTTTCTTTCTTTTACCTTCGCTGTTGAACAGTGTAATTGAGAGAACATTAAATGGAGGGACCTCGGATCAGAACACTCATTTCCATCCGCCCTGAGGGTCCCTGACCTCACTTTTGCAACTCATATCTGAACATTAACCCCCGTTTAAGAACTTTTATCTTCATCTCAAACACTCTTATGTTTCTTTTTTGTCAACGAAAAAGTCTCTTGCAGCCCAAAACACGCCGCCTGTTGAAGTGGAGCCTTTCATACGTGCTTCAAACACCATCCTCTCCCTTGTCTCACACCCGCCACACTGTGACTCTCCTTTCCCATGCTCTACTCTCTCTTTCTCCCCAGTATCTTAATCTGTGTCGCGTTTGCTAACCTTGATGTTCCCCTTGTTGGCCCGCAAGGTTCAATGTCTGCCTTTAACTCCAGGAAAACAGAGGGGCGCTCAGGCACACAGTGTCCTTTCATCCAGTGCCGTCCTCTGTGTGTGTGTGTGTGTGTGTGTGTGTGTGTGTGTCTGTGTGTCTGTGTGTCTGTGTGTGTCTGTGTGTCTGTGTGTGTGTGTGTGTGTGTGTGTGTGTGTGTGTGTATATTTCTGTATTTCTACGGACCACGTGTCAAAATGGACAAAGTAAAAAGCAAGATTAAGGATTAGGACATGTTGCAGATACTTCATCAAGGAGTTTGTAGAGGAATTAAATGTGGATTGGGCAACGAATAGAATTATAATAAGCTTTCAGTTAAGTCAGTACTGTATAACATTTTAAACTATTTATTTTTAAAGTTAAAATCAAACAAATAGAATGACAATAGCAATGTTGTGGTGATGTTCTCATGTTCACAGCTCTCAGCAATTACTTTAGTGAATACATAAAAATAGAAAAGATGGCCGAAATGAAAAGATAGATAGACTAGATGGATAAAGTTTAGGTTCAGGGATAAAAGTAGTTAAAAGACTTTTGTGTGTGGTCTTTTAGCACGTGCTCCAGTTTATGTGTTTGCTTGTTTTCAACCCCATTCCTCCCCCGTCTCTCTTTTCACACAGTGCTGCTGGATGCCTCTCTCTCCCTAGGCCCCACCATCATTCCCTGAACCCGACTTCTAGGAAAAAACCTTGTTTTTCTCTCTTCACTATGCGCCCCTCCCCGTTATCAGCCCCTGTCCGCACCTGAACCGCATCACCCCAAAAAACATTAAACCTCCATCTCATCATACAGGAACAACAAATTGCTGTATCTCTTTACAGGGAGCATTGTGCCCTACTTTCCCCCCCCGGTTCACTCTGCTGTCAGAGGAATGCAGGCCTGCTCTCGGCCTGGAGCTTAATTGAAGCAGGAAGCTATTTCACTGCAATAAACGACTTATGATTACCGCTGTAATGCAGCCTTATTGCACTTGTCAAGATGAATCCACCCGCTCCCTTAATTTGACTTAAATTTCACAGCAAATGGGGTCTGCTTACAGAGTTTCGTTGTGCACTCTGATTTAGCAGCAGCCTACAAAGATGCTATTGTTTGGCGACCATGAGTCATGGCGGATGGCTGAATACCTACAGCGTAAATATTCACTGAGCTGCACTGCCTCCCACTTGCATCTACACACCGAGTCGTACTATAAAACAAGACTGTCAGTGAAGTCAGAGGAGGTTTGTTAAGCTCTATAATGAAAGGTTGGATATGAAGCAACACTTTAGGTTAAAGGATTACTTCCTTTAAGGACTCAACAGGGCCACCTCTTAAAGCTTGCAGAAAACTGTCTGATGATTGATGAATTACAAGTAGTGAAAAGGAAAAAAAGTAGGGACGATATTCACTAAAAAATGTAATATCGGGAGTTATCGGTATCGGGTTTTTATAACCGATGTTTGTTCTGTAGGCTTCAGCATTTCCGAGCCCGCATGAACGCAGCATGGGACGTTTACTGGCGCACGCTAGATGACGTATAACAACAACAACTACACCCTAGACTGGTTGGTTGCTAACCGTGGCTAACAAGTAAACAATTTAAAGCTAAATGATTTTAATATTAACACAAAATAAGTGCAATGCACCTTAAATATTTCCTTAACCAAACTAACAATTGGCTTAGAATTTACCGGCAGAAAAGCCAATATCGAGCATCCCTAAAACTATATACTACATACCTGACTACTGTGACTATTACTACAACGGGCCAACTGTAACCTATCAGATCAACGAACCAGTAAGCCACTTGAGAAAACAACCTTCAGAAATACTCTTCAGTTCTGATATAACTGATGCTAGCAGCATCTTTATCTTATCTCATGAACTATGCAGTCTTGCAAAGTAGGCTGTGACTTTCATTTAGTGCCACTCTGAGGTTGACTATTACGGACTTTAAGGAGCTAGGATCATATTTGACCTTTTATATTTATTTAAGACTATACTACTACTGGTAGCATTACAGGATCTGGCATCCAAGAAACAAATGACCAGAGGAAGGGACATTCCTTCCAAATTGGTGGAAATGATGATGACTGTAATGACCTTAGATGGTTCAGTACAGGAATAAGGATAGTTTGGCAGTCAAGAAAGCCCAAAAAATGCCAAGCCTCACAGCAATAACCATTAGTGTGAGGCTAATACTATGCTGGCATAGTAACACAAACAGGACACAGCGAGACAGAACGGGTTTTGTTGCTGTTAAATGCCATGGAGGTATTGTTTAGTCCAAAACAACAAGTCAGTGATACTGTGAGGTCAAGCCACCAGATGCCATCGTCTCCGCTGTTGTGTTGCAAAACACTGTCGCCCCACGCATGACTGCCCTGCCCTTGTTTCACCTTGAAGACTCCTTGGTTATCAGTCAACTTCTGTCAAAATAAGAATGAGTATAGGCTAGTTAATCAGTTACGCCTGCCAGTTTTCTCAGTTTCCATTTCCATCTAAGAAAAGACAGTGAAGGTCAAATGAGAAGTGGTAGGCTCTGTTGGGTAGTTACTGATATAAACTGAGACAAACCTGATTAACTGCAGTGTCCTCCATCAAGCTTACATCATCTGTCAGTTTGGTGTCTTGGTCTGGGAACTTTATGATATGACTACAATGACTAAGGGTGCAAACAACACAACTTTATATCATATATCACAACTTCATATCACATGTCATCAATAGGAGAAATATCAGTTCCTTTAAACATCATTAAAAGGCTTAAGTGGAAGAGACTGGAAAAGAACACAAAGTAGATTGACACAGAGCAAATTGGGGAGTGATGATGTGACGTTTAGGGACAGATTGTTGAATTTGCTTTAAACCTTAGAGGCACAAATTTAGTTTCCAGCTCAATGCAGTTTTTTCCTCAAAGAGAGGTTTCTGATTTATCTAAAAGGCTACGTTACGCAACCTTAAACCTAAACATTTCAACTATTAACATGTCCTCAGCTTACGTGTTTGTGCTCTGCATTCTATCGCTGCAGTAACCACTCATTATTTATCCTGCAGCAGCAGCACATGCCATTCCAGCTTGTTTTTCCTCGAAGACTGTAACAGTAGAGCTGGAAAAGTCTTTGCTATCCCCAGACACACAACACTCAGTCAACTGGTGGTTGCTTCATTCCTCTGACAGCTGGCAAGATAACACACTTTTCCTAAAGTTTCCTCACATACACACAGGTTCCTTTTTCTGTCACACAACCACATACTACTACTACTACTACTACTACTGCTGATGCTAGGCTGCTACTACGGTTTCTACCTCTACTTCTATCTCTGTTCTTGCCACTGCAACTTTTGTACTAATTTCCCTTGGGTATTATCTTGGTATCGCCTTCAGGCAGCAAGTTTGTGACTGGCAAGACAAGTTAAGCCTTCTATGGCTTTGGGGGATTCAGAGTTGTCTGTGTCTGAAGTTAAGAGATGCCTAATATCAGTTACATGTGAGGAACACTGGTGAACAGTGCTGGGTGTTTTTGTTTTTTCAAAAAACGCAGGAAATATTTTGTTCCATTTAGAATCTACATAAAAGTAGTCCCACAGCTGATGCAGGAATATCATTTTCAGAATTTTAATTAGAGAATTTGGATGAGGGAATGTTGCCTTGACAGCCTACACTTTGTCTTACATTCAGTAGTAGAGTTCTGTTTGTGGCACAGTGATTGACAAATTATTGCTATTTTTGGCATTTCAGATTTCTTGATTGTAGATAGAGCGAACACTCCATCTTCACTGTCTCCTAACAACAACACCACTACCACCACTACTGGTCACCTGCAATAGCCACTTAACTGTAGTAATAGCAAACCTTTCACAGTTTAAATAGCTGTTTACATTGCTACAGTACAAGTAGGCCTACCTATATTTATATCCGAGCTCCTCCATCACCCAGTGTTTTTCTCCTTCTGCCTGGTTATTAGTGTTTTCTACTCTGGTATTTTGCCCAAGAAGAAAATCCATCAAAACAAAAATAATTCAGCTTCATTCCTATAAACTGACTAATTTGTAAAAGTTACATCATGACTCATATGTCTGAAGGATTTCTTTAGAATGATTCACTTGTCAGAAATGCAGTGTCTCAAACTCTGAGGCTCTAGCAGCCTAGTTCCACAACCGACTCCAGCACCCCTGACAGGAAGCAGAATATTTCACTTTACTGTATATAAATCATATTATCCTGCATCCTCGCTCTGTTTCCATTGTGTAAACTATCAGTGGCAAAAATAGCAACCTGACATTCACATCCACTCACACAGAAAAGCCTGGTGTAATAACATTATGCTGTTTACTCGACTGAAGCTGCCAGATGTGTGTGCGTGTGTCCTCCCTGCCCTATTTCCATCAGTTGAGTAGTTTACTGTCACATGACTGCTGTCACTCATGTGTTCAGGCCGGAATGTAGTGCTGCCCTCTACTGGTGATAAGTGATACTGCAGTGTGTGTGTGTGTGTGTGTGTGTGTGTGTGTGTGTGTTCTCAAGGGCAATACACACTCAACAGTCTGTTTGAATTTTTATCAGCTTGATTGGATTCACATTAAAAGATATCCACAATTTATTTATGAGCCATCAAACATTTAATTAAACATTAACTAGTCATAACTCTAATTAAATCCAATTATATTCTTGTCTATTGATTTGTATGCAATGTAATTACCATATTTATAGACTCATATTGATGTGTAGATGTATATAAAAGAACATTTGGTGGCCTATACAACGTAATGGAAAAATAACTTTAGTCTTACTTGTCACAGATACATCAACTATCAATCAATTGCGGGATTTAAATCAGACAACTGAAAATGTGTGTGTTCGGTGCTCCTTGTCATATTCTCCATCTCTTTGAAATCTACTAGAGGATGAACGTCAGTCTTCCAAAAAGATATTCCCTAATTTAGTGTTTTGATGACGATGGAAAGTGCTGTCTAACATGCTGCTTCAAAGTCTCCCAAAGGTGTTCAGTTGGGTTGAGAGCCAGTAACTGTAAAGGCCAAAAGATATGAGGATGTATACAAGGATCACATAGCTTTCATACCATTCAGTAAGGCCTGTATAGAAGCATGTGTATTACATCCTCTAGCCCTTTATTCAGGGTTTTCCTCTAATTTGTCATCCATCTGTATCTTGAATTATTGTTTTTATTACATTAAATTATAATTGCAGGCTGGATTGCCATTGAGAATGGTCACATTGCAAGTGTATTTTGATGGGCCATAATTACAGACATCTGAAATATAATTTATGAGAGCTATGAGCTAAACCATTCAACAGCGTTGTATTTCCAAATATGAACTATTTCTGAACTAAGTGGAAAAGTGATTGTATATCTAAGTGGTATTTTTAAAGGTATTTCAGATGGTTTTAGAATATTTTTATGAGCCAGCTATGTTGTCAAAGAGAACAACATTTAAACCTGAAACATTTCTGAAAGTGAAGACACATGGTTTTCTTCTGTCTGTTCCTGCTTACATGTACAGTTTGTTTGAGGTGCACCTTAATTTGGGTGTGTTCATGTGCTGCTACCTTTTTGTAAGCAGGCATCATGTGTGTTTGTTTGCACGTGTGTCCTCTTCATTTGCACTTATTATCATGTCCCGTGATGTCACTCTATGTGTGATTGCTAAATCCCCCCTTTTTTTTTTTGTGTGTGTGTGTGTGTGTGTGTGTGTGTGTGTGTGTGTGTGTGTGTGTGTGTGTGTGTGTGTGTGTGTGTGTGTGTGTGTGTGTGTGTGTGTGTGTGTGTGTCCCACCACAGAACAAGGCCTCCATTGATGCTGCCAGTGGAGCTCTGGAAGGCGTCCAGAGTAGAGTAGAGCAGAGTAGAGTATTTGAGGGGCCCGAATGCTGCCGGAAGGTTTTCAATGTTTCACATAGACACAAACCTTCAGTCTCCTCTTCACTTTCCTCAATGGGACTCTCAGAGGAGCATCATCACACACTCTGAGCCAAGTTGGCTCGCCCACAAAGAGCCGTGGTGGCCCCATTAGTGATGCAGGCATTGGTCCTGTCAGTCATCTGACCCAGATAGTATTCTGTGGTTACAGCCAGCTCTGTTGGGTGGTAATGCTGTACTCATAACATTACAGTGATATACAGTGATAGTGTTAAAACGTGGGTTAACTATAACCCCTAGATAATGATCGGTAGCTTTATGGCAAACAACCAGCGTTATAAACAATTATCTGTTGTATTTGCTTCAGAGAAACATTTTTTATGGTTTAAGCCTCATCAGTTTGATCTATAATGACCTTTCTCTCTATAATGTTTCACATTGCTTTCCTATGCCAACCTAAAAAGCCCATAAAGTGGTATTAAGAGCCTTTCCCAGATATATAGTTCCCCATATAAAGTTGAACTACAGCTGGGTCAGCAGGCTTGATAGATGTTAAGGCGCCATCAGTGAGGTCCAGTGGATGATGAATAATGATAAATGTCAAAGCTAGTGTCTAAATATATAACAAGGAGCTAGATAAACATTAACAGGAAACATGTGTTTTGTAGTTTTATGTCAAGTCAGTCATTTTACAAGTTAATTGAAAGTGAATATTCTGATGAGGTAAAATGGTTTCAAAAATGATAATCTGAACACGTAGTGCTTTTATTTCATTCAATGTAAAATGGTCATCTGTATAACTAGCCAGCAGGCTAACATGCTGATAACTTAGTTCCTACTAGCTAGTGTCCACTCACTATAAACAACACACACATCAGAAATTAAAGCCTGGTGATTGAATGTTTAATGTTGAAATGCACCCTACTAGATAGAACAGAGGCCATAGGATACAATTTGCATCCGTATTGCATCAGTACACACAAGAGAGTTTCCTGTCAGATGATTCACCCGGTAGTTCCTACACACTCGAGTGTTGGATGAACTGTCAGGCACCTATGAAAACAAAGGGAACTTGTACTTACGAGGACACACAGTAGACTGTAACTTCTCCGCCTCTGCAACTCAGATTTAACTTATCATTTAGAACTAACCTTTTCCCTCCCTCCTTTTATTGCAATGGCCAAATTATATTCAATTCAGTTAAATCCAATTATTGTATTCATTCCCAGCAGGGATGGATTTGTCTACAGACACAATCAGGTGACCACGGTCACTGTTTCCCACGTGAATGAGGACCTCCAATATGGCTGCCAGAGGGTCTGTCCTCTGCGTGCCGGGCCCTTTACTGTAAATCATGCAGTGGTAAATCCTACTGCTCCAATCCTCATTCCTATCACATCTGTATTTTCCTCATCTTCTTCTCCTGGAGCAAACGCTGCACAGCTTAGTGGGGGATTTACTCCCTAAGCTGATTTATATCAGCTGATAGCCCTGTCATGAAACTAGGCACTGGAATGAATGGATGAATAGACAGATGAAAAAAGAAAAGGAATGAAAGGATAGTGGGGAATGAGGAGCGGTTGTGTTAATTTCCATTTGAAAGGTATATCCAGGGTGGGTTGGTTCTGTTTCCTCTCTGTATCTTAAGTGTGTCTTCCTGTTTGATCTGAAGGAAAGAGGAGAATGGGAAGAAGGAGGGATGGGGAGGAAGGAGTGAGAGGTAAAAGACAACATTAAGGGGGGTGGATGGAGAGGAGGAAGAGTAGACAGTTGATGTAAAAGTACGTTGAGGTTTAGATGGTTGTCAAAAGGTCAGAGATAGAAGGATGAAGATGAGAAATGGGAAGGTCATAGCAAGCAAGAGGGGGACATAGAAAAAGGACAAGGAGTAAAGGAAAGGAATAGGGATAGGTGGTAGAGAGGGAGATGGAGAGGATGGGATGAGCAGACTGTTGGGATGAAGGAAGAGAAGCAGAGGCCATATTCTGTGTTATTATTGAGAGAGAAGTCCAGAATCCAGCTCTTTAATGGGAAACGTGAATGTGCCATGTAGCTGTCAGCTTTAGGGATGTGATAAATGTACAGTATCATAACCTCATGGCCTCTTCTGCACATTATTACCTTGTACAAACATCCATCTGCAGGGCGTTAACAGCTGACAGAATATAGATTAGAAATTGGAATGAAAGGCTGAAGGAGCCAAATGTTGGACGCTTTCATCTCACTTTAAAGCTGGTATTCTGAATAAAATGTGTAAAACAATTGTAATATTTTATCACAGGTGTACCTTTAAGAGCCTCCAATCCTTTCATATACACATTTATATTATATTTATGCTTGTATTTATTACATGTACGCCATAACTCAAATGTAACATCAACACTAATCTTAGTAGTCTAGCAGTGGAAACAGGTTGCCACCCACATAACCTGCTGTTTTAGGATCTGAATGGCATCTAGGTAGAAGAATGTTGTTGCTGAAGGCCCATGGGGTTGGTTTGGTGGCCATCTTGAATTGAATTCTGTCCATCTTTCATTGACATGTTGGCTGCTGGTGTTGTCAGTGATGATGATGATGATGATGATGAGGGGGGAGAGGATGAGGCGGAGGTTGATGATGAGACGGACAATGATGATGATCAGTGAAAAGCGTGTTGGTGACTTTTGCTTTAAATTAGTACTATGAGATTGTCTTTATATATTAAACACATATCCTACCACTGTACTAACATTTATGGATGCTGATTTGCAAAGTGCAGCCTAACTGATTTCTCCCACCCTCTTCCTCATTAGCTGAAGAAGCTGCTGCTGACTCCTCCCAACGTGCCCGCGGGTATCGACGCACACAAAGATAGAGTCCATGGACATCGCTATAGCAACAGAAGCCTACGGCCAGTCAGACCTCTAGTCAAGGTGAGGAGTGACTTACTGTGAATGCCTGCTGATTAAAGGTAGATTTGGCTGGTTGACAGTTCATGTGAACATTGTTTAAAACTCTCCCTTCCCTTATTCATCCTGCAATAAAACCCCAGCCTTTCCTCAGTGTTTCTCAGAACTGAAGCAGTCCGTTCGGTTGCAACCCCAGACACACATCTCTGTATTCACTAGTTAAGGCCTCATTCCCTCTGTCTTCTGAAGGCTGGCGAGATTACAAAATTGGATTTTTCCCCCCCAATCACTTCCCCTCAGAGGTGGCGAGTTAAGGCAAAAGTAATTCACTGTTGCATGCAGGGCTTGCAGTCAGCATCACTGCCACCACAGAAGTCATCTTCAAGCAGGTGTCTGCCCTTGTTTTCTGCCGGCTAGAGTCAGACCAATAAATAGAACAGATATTGGCATTTGATTATGAGTTATCCCTACATTGTCCAGACAGTCAACACTAGAAAAGTTACAGTAATAGGTTGCTGAAGCTTGAAATGACCTATGTTGTTAGTTGTGCTCTCTCAAAACCAAAGTTGGACGTAGAGTGACGTAGTTGAGATGGATGTTCTGACTGTGACACCTGAGCCTACAGTTCGTATCCCGTTTCCTACCAACAGTCAGCTATGACCACAATCTTTCCTAAACCTTAACCGAGTAGCTTTAGTTGCCTAAACTTAACCAGCTCTAAATTTATAGGTTGCAGATTCGAAAACGTATGAATTGTAACAGGTATTGGGTCGCTTTGAAAGAAACTGCCATCATCAATCCCACCTAAAGTAATTTCCTCACACTGGCTGTCTGAGGAATTCTTGCATTAAGGTTTAATTTCAGGCTTTTTGAACCCTGACAAGGAGAAATCAGAAAGAAATCTGAAAAACTGTGGTCAAATTTAAAGAATAAAAACTGGTTTCTCAGTAGCTTTAGTACAAAATCAATGGTCATCAGTAATGGCGTTCAAGAACCTGTATTGGCTAAAACGTCCTTCTGACAGGACCAGGAAGAAAAAGGCAAACTAGCCAGCAGTTGCCCAGCTAGTACAACAACAGTTTTTATTTTCCAAATGACAGATATCTCATTTTAGACGAAAAGCTCTTTGAGACCTTCAGCTGCTGCCCATGATGGATGTGGTGTTTGGGAAGACAGGACATTTACAATGGCTACTGCTGTATGACTTAGCAGTAATTGGATAGGTGCTAGCATTGTGCTTCAAGTGGTCATTGATTACAACACCAGTCATTTATCTTGTACAAGCATAAAGCACAGTGAGCCTTCACACAGCCTTCTGCTCTGGCTCAAGCAAGGAGGACACAAAATACCCACAGGATGCGGCGCGGGGATAAGCCAAGCCTGTATCTATCATACTGCCTCCTAACCTCACTGTGTGTGTGTGTGTGTGTGTGTGTGTGTGTGTGTGTGTGTGTGTGTGTGTGTGTGTGTGTGTGTGTGTGTGTGTGTGTGTGAGCTTTAGTTTTAGAGTAGTGTGGCTTTGCTGTGGCAGATGGCGGGAGTATTGACTGACAGGGCAAGAGGGCAACAGTGAATCATAGTCTCTCTCTCTCTCTCTCTCTCCTCTCTCTTTGTGAGTAATATAGAATCAGCCATTTCATTGCAGCTGCACACTGAATCATCCCTCACAAAGTCGGAGGCAAAATTTACTGCTGTGTGCTCAGTGTTCCTGTATCCAGGGCAGGAAATTGAAGATACACCCATGCGTTCATGAGTCTGTTTTTGTTGTTATGTGGTTCATTTGTCTTGTTCCCATGAACAACTGTAGACAGTGTGATGAGATATTTCCAGCACAGCTACAGTAAAGTTTGATAGAAAATGAAAAATGTTTGATCTACAACATCACTAGTAAATGTCAGGTTTTTGTGTCAGTTCACCAGAGTCAAGGATTAAGGGCTTTTTTTCTAAGGTTGCCATTTTGTATCGATGTCCGTTGACAGATGCCTAGATAGTGTTGCATTTGGATCAGTTAAAAGGCACTCTTAATTTTAAGAAACTGGAAAAATCTTTACTATAAAGTCAAATAAATTAAAGTCAATAATTACCTTTGAAGGGATATAAAATCCATGTGGGAAACTATTTAAACCAATTTGGATCTTGTGAAAACCCCAAAACAATACATGAATACATTTATTTTGTCTGTCATCCACAGGAGCAGAAAAACCTCCAAATTATCATAAGCGTGGTTGGATGTCTGGGTACTGATCAAGATGTCTGGTAGAGTAACTTACCAGACAGGCCGAATTTGCCAGTTGCTGGTGGTTGTTTCACTCCCAGACTCTTATCAATGACTGAATTATTGCAGCCTTCTGCAGCTGTTCTTGTAGTCTAATCTCCAGTTCACAGACAAGCTTAACAAGATCAGTGCTACAGGTCTATATCTCTGTTTGCCCTCCTCTATTTATCCATTAATTTGGTTTAGTTCAGTGGCTCTTTATTGTCATACCACCAGCATCAGAGGTTGCATTCCCAAACCAGGAAGGAGAAAAAACTGACGATTGAAGATTTTTCTAATAAAACTCATTTCTGTTGATATGTGACTACAATCGAAACATTTTGCAGATGGTTGGCTAAATGTTTTTTCCGTGTAGAGAGCAAACAGTCTGACACTGGTATTCATGTTTGTGTGCCTCTGCCCTCAGAGTGACCTCCCTCAGGAGAGGAAGCCCAGAGCGGTGCGTCCGGCGGGCCGCCTGTGCACCGAGCTCCACCGCCACCTCACCACAGCCCAGGACTCAGAGGACGCCGCGGCCCCAGACACAGAGGAGGACGAAGAGGAAGAAGAGGACGAGGACAGTGAGTCGGAGGAGGATGAAGAGGAGGAAGAGGAGGAGTCTTCCAGCAGCGAGGTGGAGGGTGTGGCAGTTGTGGCCGCCGCCCCCGCTGAGCCAGCCAAGCCTCAGTTCAGCTCAGAGAAAGAACTGCACTCAGTTGTGGAGCTGATTACATACATGCACACCTACTGCCTGCCCACACGCAAGCAGCAGGGCTGGGAGCGCAAGGACCGTGACCTCCAGAGGTCTCGGGCCAGACCCGAAGCCCCCCGCCTGCAGGCTGCCACAAACTCTCACAGCAGAGTTGTCTTGGTGGCTACTCCTGGGACTAGTGGGGGGGCAGGCAACAGTGCCCCAAGGAGGCTTCCCTTTGCAAGGCGGAGGGAGATGAAGGCCAACTCCCTTCTCCGCGAGCTCCTGCAGCAGAGCAGCTCTTTCGATGTGAGCAAGCCTTACAGACTGCACAGCCCTCCCTACTCCCACTCCCACAGTCCCAACAAAGGAGGAGTATCTGCTCCTTCTGCCCTGGCTAAATCAGCCCCAGCCCACTCCCTAAGCTCAACCACCCCGAAACTGGAGCTTGGTAAAGACTTTTCCTCCCCAGATAGGAGAAACTCCTCCTCTGAGGCTCCTCAAAGCCCAGATGAGATTGCAGAGGACGGCGGCTCCTTCTCGGTCCGGCGCTCCCGGCGTCTGGCCTCCTTCCCCAGCCGCTACGCCAAGAGGCTGCGGCCTGGTCGGGCGAGGGAAGGAGAGGGGAAGGACAGGGAGGAGAGGGAGGAGGGACGAGGAGGGGTCAAACTCCTGCCAACCCAAGCAGGAGGGGTAACCACGACGGAGCCAGAGCAGCTGACGTCGGGTGACTGCAACGCCGGTACAACAGAGCCGACCAAACCCTGCTGCCACAGCGGTGAGATGGATAGAAAAGCTTCATTGATACTACAGGCTTTTATTCTCAATTACTAATATCAGATTGTATGTGGATGACTCTAATTGTAATCCATATCTCATATAGACCACTGGAGCTTGGCCCATTGTTTGGCTGTCTTTCTATTCTCGTCTTGTCGTCCTCTGTGCTAACACTGGCTCAGCCAAGCTGCTGTAGCACCGAAATTATGACAGATGTGACAATGTGAATGATCTAGGATTTACTGAATATCTTTGGAGATGTGAGTGTTGTAATGTAAGTCATATATACTGTAGCTCTTATCTCTCACCATTAGATTTAAAACGTAATCCATGAGATCCAGACAGAGTTGAAAAAATGGGACTGCTGATCACGCTGATTATTAAGATCTGAGTCACATAAGGGGTGAGAGAATAGCAGTTCAAACACTCAGTTCCAGTGTGAATGTAGACCGTGGTACAAACACAGCAGAAACACACTTTCATACTTATTCTTAATCAGGGAAAAATCACTGACACACATCTTCTGAGCATGCATGTAATGACACACATGATTGTAACTGGCTTTTTATTGTGATTGCAGAAAAGCGAGCCTGCCTCTGTCTGCCTCTCAACCCCAAATCCACAGGGTGAGTATCTCTATATAAAGTACCTGCTGGGTTTCATCATGCAGTAGTAGCTTGATAAGAGTACTCTAAAACTGTACTGTAACACAACTATCCAGTAGTTCATAACCAGCTGTGTTGTGAGGTGAAAAGTCACCAAGAGTGTTTTTTATTTCTTTCTTTTGAATACTGAGAAAGATTGCAGCACCAAGTGTAAAATAAGGAATTCAATTTAAAGGGTACATCTATATGTGTGATATCTAACTTTGTGATTAGTATCACATGATCCAAAATCACACATTAAAGGGGCATTATTGTTTACTATTAATAAAAAAAAACTTACTTTGAATAACCTTAACTGTTTGCATTAAAGTAAAAAAGCTGCAGAGGCTTCTGCAGAGCAGACAGGTGTAAGGTAAATGTCTCCTGGGAGCTGCTGCAGGGGCAAACGTACGCTTTCATTATAATGAAATGTTAGACCTGGGCCCGCAATGTAAACCACTTCCTAAAATTCATAGTACTGAATATTAGCACTTTACAACCCATGCCAGACGGGTAGAAATATCAAATAGCATCTGCTTGTTATTAAATGACCCCAGCAGAAGTTTGTTTTATTTTCATTTCAGGCTCACTATTGGGTCTGATAAAAGCAGTTAAGTGTATCTTTAATGGAAATGAATGTTATGTAAAGTATCAGTCTCAGTAAATGATTACACTCAAATTTAGCAGCGATGTTGTGATAAAACTTATAAACCTTACAAACAAATACTGTGTTGACCAAGTCCTAGTACTTGTATTTGCTTAAATGCATACCAGTAGAACATGGCTGGGCTCTTTTTCCCCACGTAGAGTCTGATTTAGATGGCAGCTACTGTTCCACATTGCTGAGGAAACACACTGAACATTATGGGAATGTTTTTTTTAGGAGTACTGAGCGAGAGGCAGATTCCATTAAGGAGCAGAGGATTGTTTCAGCTATACTAATCTAATGCTTGTAAACATGCAAATTACTGCGTTAATCACCTTTGCTGCGATTTCTGAAATTCAGCACTAATTGATTTGATCCTATTTGGGGCATTTGTTTCATTGTCTTAATAATATAATCTAATGCTTCACAATCTGGCAGTAGTCCATCATTAATACATTTTCACTTCCAAGTATTAAGTATTTGGTGTGGGGATTTGCAGGGTGGAATAAGCATCTGAAACAAAGATACAACACAATACTTAATGTATACATTTACATTCCGCATCCCATGTGTTTGACAGCGCTTTCTAGACCAGACCAGATCCTAGACGTGTGACCTAAAAAGCTGTGCGGAAGGAACAATATGAACAAAAAAGTTCATGCTTCAAATAGAGCGCCGTGATCCATTTTTTAGTACATATCAGTAAGCATCAGTTTGCAGTCATGTCATTGATAATCTGTATAAGACTGTATAATATTCTGAATGCTAAACCAGGCTCACATTCTACGATTTTATTCCAAGATCCCTAATGAATCAGGACCCCTGGCCGGCTTACTCAGATTTTAATCTATGCCAGACAGTGCCCTCACCGCTCTTACTTTTCTAAATTAACCTCCCATCCAGCCTCAAACCCTGGAACTTCTCCAGCTACAACCGGTCACAAAGCTGAATGTTTTCCTGTATAAACCCCTGGCGTCCGTCCATCCTCTAAATGAATCTGTCTGCTGAAGCGCTCACCAAAAAACAAAAAGTAGAAGGGTTTTTGGGGTTTTTTTTGTTTTTTTTACTGGCTCTCTATGGAGGGTAAGTAATATCCCGCCTGAAGCCAATCCACTCGGCACCGCTCCTGCCTTTCATGGCAACTGGAGAAACAGAAACAGACAGCCAGAAATAGAAAGCAGAAGAAGAATAGGGGAGAGGACAGCGGAGTACGTATGGTTGTTGTGATAAGAAATGAGGAGCGCTGAGAAATGCCAGTACCATTTACAGGGAGAAACATAATTCAGATTCAGCAGACATCAGCTGAAACTGTGCCGTTTTTATTTTAGGGGAAAAAAAGAGCTTCCACTGAGAGCCTTTTAAGGCTCTTATTGGATTCCCGTTAACTTAAAATGCTTGAAAAATATAACCGATTACACAATGACACAGCAGTCTTTAATTTCTCTCTCCTGTCATTTCTGTTGTCTCTTCACCTCCAGAGAGTCCCAGTACAGCACCAAGCCTTTTGAGCAGACACTCAGTGTGGATCTGTGTGGAACGGCAGGTAAACACATCGCATGTTTACGCAGTTGTTTGTTTGGATATACATCGATGTCAACAGGGTGCAAGCTCTTAAGATACAGTCATAAGGAACAGGGATAGTGGGACCAAATCTCATTTTGTTGGGGATCAGAGAAGCAGGAAACTGTGCATCAACACTGTCAGATTTCTCCTACAGCTGGAGATGCTGAAAGTGTCTTAGAGTTAACTGAGAAGATCAATACCACTCTCATATCTGTAGAGGTTAGCTTAGCTTAGCATAAAGACTGGAAACAGGGGGAAGCAGCTAGCCGGGCTCTGTCCAAAGGTAACAACATGTGCACACAGGCACACCAAAGCTCAATGATCAACCTGTATCAACATTTGTACAACACCCAACCTTTAAAACATCACATTATGGTTATACGTGGGGGGTTTCTTGTACCCTGCTTATGTTATGTGGTACCTCTTCTCTCCCCCCTCAGGTCTCACCCCTCCCACCACCCCACCTCACAAACCAGTGGAAGATGAGCTCTTCAAACCGGCAGAGGGAGGAAAGGGTAGTGAAGGTGTAGGTGGTGGCAGCAGTGGCGATGGTGGAGGAGGTGGCAGTGAGTCTGTTCACCCGGCTTCAAACACCAACGCCGTCTCTAAGGGCTCGTCCTGGCTGAGCCGCGCCCACCACCAGCGGAAGCTTCCAGAGCAGACGGAGCTGTACGCCCAGCTGCGGCGCATGGGCCAGGCTGGTGACGGCGACACCCATAGAACCTTTGGCGACCATGACTACTGTGCGCTGAGCGTCGGGGAGAGCCGCAAGCGCAGCGCTGCCATGCTTGGTGCCATGCTGCAGGCGCAGGAAGGGAGCGATGGAGTTAGCACCCTAACAGCCAAAGCAGCCGATGATCAGGTTTCGGATGGAAAGGACAAGGAGAGCAGGGAACGGCTGCTGGTGTCAGACGTCGCCGAACCACTTGAGAAGCAGAGAGTGACGGTGGTGATATCATCAACGCCGCCGTCAGACTGCCAGTTGGCAGCTGCCACACTACCAGCCTCAGAGGAAGAGGCGGAGCGCTCGTCTGCGTCTCGCTCACCCTCGCCCATTCTCAACCTGTGTCCTGACTCCCCCGCCAGCAAGACAGACTCCAGGTGAGACAAAGAGGGGTGTGAAGATATGGGTCAAGGAGATGAGCTGAAATAGGTTTCAAATAGGAACAGAGGAAAGCAAGAATGAGGCGGAGGGAAGGAGACAATAAGAGTAGGACACAGTATGAGAATGAGAGACTGCAAGAGAGAAAGTGAAATTTAAATTCTGCTTTATGAAGGGCATTTTAGACATTTATACACTCTATCCAACTATGACTCTTTGGTGCAGTAGCATATTGTGCCACATACGGCAAACCAACTGCTTCACAACACAGGCTCTACAGTCTGAACCTACTCTACTAAAAGAATGGCTAGAAGTACAGCGTGATGTCTCTGTATAAACAGTATGGCACAATCAGTTGCCAAATTTCTATTGCCCTACATCATATATATATATATATATATATATATATATATATATATATATATATATATATTATAGTAAATCATCACCCAACCCCAGAAACAAGGGTACACAAAGGTGCCGTTCACCTTGTTGCTTTTCAGTTACGCTTAAACAATTTTCCTTGAGATTTGCTGTGTACATAGGGTGGTGCGTTGGACTGTGAAGGGGATGTATTCAGTCACTAATTGGGTTCTGATCTGTAGCATGTAAACAGGAATCAATTATGAGGAATCGTTCTATAAACAACTCATGTAAACATTTTAAGCTAAGACCGTACTGTCTAACTTAGAATAAGGTCAGTACTCATTTCTATTCTTGTAAGTTACAGTTTGATTCGACTGTCTCACACAGAATGAGGTCATATTATTTCTGTATGTAAGAAAATGACAGAGAAAAAGGGTGGGAACGTAAGAGACGGAACAGAGCGAGGCCGTACTGCAGTCAGTGGGAGAGTCTCCTTTTTTTTGCCGCAGTTCACCTGTTTCCTCATGTCTGACATTTCAGTTTCACCTTGTGTCCATTCTTATCTCACTAACTATCCTCTCTCTCTCCCCCTTTCCCTTTTCTTCCTCGTCCTCTTGTAGTGAGAACTCGGAGATCTGTCCCGACGACAAGCAGAGGAACAAAGCCAAGTCTGACGAGGTACAGAGAACATTCCCGCCCTACAGTCTTCTGCATACTGCAATACTTTCTGCCTTAAATTTTAAAAAAGCAACCTCCATCTCAATACCCTTTGAGCTCACTAGCCCAGACTATACAAGTTTGGATATGTAGACACGCGTACACAAACTGACAATATATATTCCTTACATTGTTTACTGCAGCAAGAGATCAGAATAACAGACTGCATGTAAATGAACACGGGGTTTCAAAGTGTTGATTCTCAGGATGCCGTCCTACACTCCTCCTTCCTGCTTCAGTTCCCACGTCTATCGGTATTCTGTGTTGTCCTTTGTCCTGACTGTTGCCATGGTTTCCCTGTTGCCAGGACAACTGCCAGGTGTTTTACATCCACAACCTGCCAGCCAGCGTGACCCAGAACATGCTGAGGAAACGCTTCCAGGTTTTCGGCAAAGCGGAGGACTGCAAAGTCATCATCTGCAACGAGTAAGTGTCCCGATCTAGACTGCTCGAGCTGAGGAGGAGAGATACTGTATGAGAACTTTTCTTTTGCGCTATGGATCACAGTTTATGTGTATGCAAGTTGTACTGACTTTATAATGAGATGGAAGTACTTTAGTAATATAATGTTGCAGTGTCATTAATTCATTCTAGATTGGGATGTTAGTGATTGAAAAACTAAGTCACCGGGCTTGGTAAATGAAATGTAATTAGCAAGTCATCAGAAATGCCTGTCTCAATTTCCCTAAAGTAATCTGGCAACCTGTGGGAAATAGTGTTGGGACACAAACACAACAAAAGATAATGAGAAAATAAGAAGGCCGTATTTTTTCATGGAATGATCCAAATCTTTTTTTAAAGGGTGGGCCACAAACATTTTGAAGTCTTCAGCAGAAGTGAAAATCATAAACTTTGACTATATGTTGACAGAAATATTTTATAATTCACTTCCACGATATATTCTATATCTTTTGCCTGAAATAAAACGTACCTCATGGTAATGACATTGTAATTGTAACGACAACAGCAGCAGTTTTTGAGCCTCTGGTGTTCTTCTTCTGATGCTGAGTCATCATTTTATGTAACTATTTTCAGTTCTACGTCTAAAAAGTTGGGACACTTAAACCTTATCTTGAAATAACCACTGAGAGCTTACCAATGAGACACCTAGTACTGACAGCACTCTCGGTTTTCAACAGTTTCTCATGTTTGTCGCTCCAGGTGCTCAGACTATTGCCCTTGACAGAGGACCTGATCTTGAACTTAATAAGGGTGCCCTCTTTTTGTCCTAGATAATCCCAGACATTTTTCATTTGACTTATTTTGGACATATTCTTAAAATTGACACAGTGCTGAAATACACAGTAAGGGACAGATCAGATCAGTAACAAAGGAGATGTTTTGGGTTACATTTCATACCATTTCAGTGCATTGAATGAAAGGATGGATATGATTGATTCAGCTTTCTCGATCTCTCACGATTCCAGTATGTACCTTCCTCATCTGCAAAAAAGCAAAATGTCATCATCTTAATGCATGTGTCTGTCTCTCTACCTGTCTGGCTGTAGGGAGCGCTGTGGGGTGATAAAGATCCGCCAGCCAGGGGTTCAAAGACACTGGAGAGAACGGGAGACTGTCCAGAATGGACCTGCGGGCCTAAGGAGGCTAACAAGGAAACGCTACATAGATCTTGGTAATGAACACACACACTGACAAAGATATAAGTCGCTATAGTAAACTGGCCCAAAGTACACCAGGCGACTTTGGTGGCCCCTAGTGGCAGCGAAAGCTATTTGTCAATCTCGCAAAATTGGTAGTGCTGGAAGCTTGCTGATGTGGTGATTACTGGCTGATTTTTCTAGTAGTAAGCTAGTTTTTGTTTGTAATAGAGTTGTCAGGTTTGTGGGGACAATGGCCGGTTTTTGTTAAAATTGATCAAAGCTAAACCCACGAGAAAGCACCACGCAAGTTAACTGCACCACCTTTTTAAAAAACCTCCATTTGAAATGAGCTTTACGTTAATTGCTCTAACTAAAGAAAGATTGAGAGGGAATGTTCTCTACAAGGACTTGGAATTTGACTTTGATTTCTTGCATTTGAAAATTACCTTTTTTTTTTCTGTCTTGTAGATGAGGCAGGTCCGGGCCCCGTGAAAAGCAAGTACGATGCACTGGACTTTGACACTCTGCTGAAGGAGGCCCAGAAGTCCCTGCACCGCTGACAGCACAGCACCCGTGACTGCTCAGCCTTAGTAGACTGCAGCAACACCCCTCCGACAACATGGCTCTGCCCTCAGACAGGCCTCTCAGTACCTCCATGCAAGGCAACCTCGCAAAATGTTTACATTTTTACCGTTGGAATAAAGTAACGATAAGGACCTTGTTGTTTTTTAAGTTTCTTTCACCGGAGGATACTGCTTAAAAACGAGGAAGCCACTGGGAGTTCAGAGGAGATTAAAGACAATGGAGGAAACAGGACTTTATACAGCAATGGTACAACATCTACAAACGATAATGATACAGTTCTCTGCTGAACAACAATAACAAAGCTGTCTGTGTTGGTGACATCATCACCCCGCCTTGGAAGAGCGGGCATGAGAGACCTCTGTAGCAAATCCTTGCTATTCCTGCGTTGCGTTGGTCGTCGTGGTGTGTGTGTTTCTGCGTGTGTGTGTTCTTTGTTCTGTTTGTTTTGTAAAAAAAGAAAAAAACCTCCCTCTTTCCGGTCACGGGTGGTGAACCTGCAAGCTATGTTCACCATGAAGTTGTGTGGTTGTGTAACCAGAAAAAAAAAAAAACCCTGCTTTGTTTTAGCGAAAAATTGTGGATGTTATAAATTTTAAAATCTATTGTGTGTGCGTTATGGACAAAGGATATATTAAAAAAAAAACATTTAACGTAATCATTTGATGACTGATAAAGTTTACAAATCTAAAATGAAGAAGAAAAAAATCATGTTTTTTTCTTTTTTGTAATTGTAGTGCTTCCTTGATTTGATCTATGCACTGTAAGGAGGCAAATGTCTCCGCTGTCCTCCACTTCCCCCCTTTTGACTAATCTCTAACTCTGCCATGCTGACTATTTTGGCTTCTGCTACTGGCTGCTGCAGGCTCTGTTTGGTAGGCGTTTTATACATTAAGACCCCAACTTGGTCCCAGGAAAAGTTTCACCTCAAATTTGTTTTTATCCCCTTCGAACTAAAGCATTTATTGGAAGAACTCTCTTAAATGTTGCACAGGTTGTGAACTGGGTTCAAAATATGTTCAAACAAGAAGGGCGTTTTGAGTTTGATTTTATTTGTAAAAAATTCCTGCTGCATGATAAGGTTAAGGTCGTCATTATACGTCATAAGGTTAGGGTTGGGTAAAAACGGGTGGTGTGTCAGAAGTGGATAAAAGATGAAGTCAGGATAAGCATTAGATTATCTATGGAAAAGTAGTAGAACTAATAGTTGAACACCAATGCCGTTCCCCAGAGCTGACACTGACATTTCTTTAAGTAACTGCCAAATGTCCATCCTGGAAATATTTCTTTGTGACGCCATAGTATAGAGGACTAATGTTAATAAAGTTCATTGACGCTCACATGGCTTCAGTCTGTCAATTGTTTCTAAAATACAACAAATTGGGTAGTGCCAAATTTCTTCACAGTGATTCAGAACAGTCTCTCCATTTAGAAAATGGAATGGTCCATTTTTACAAAAATGTTTGGCTTCATTGGTTGATTCCAGGTGATTTTTTTCCACATCAAGAGGGGTCTTGATGTATCTTTGATAGGGTCCCAATGAACATGTGTCTGAAACAAGGCTGCAGCCTAACGACACCCCCCGAATGCCACAGCCAATGCAACAGTTACTGTTTACATTTGGACTGCAGCAAGCAGGACTAAAATGGGGAAATAAAGTTGGTAGCCAATTGGCGCTTTTAGTAATGAACTCAGTATGAATTCATCCCATCCACACTTTGTCCTGACCATCCCAGTCCAATCTTCTCATTATAGGACAGTACTGTAAATGGAACTATTTGGAGTGTCCAGGAATCCATTTTTCCTGCTGGCATTAGTGCTTGATGTTTGGTTAGCTTGACATTGGTTTCAGAGTACAAAGGAGAACAAGACCAATTTGCTTTTCATAGTCCATCCATGGAATATTGCCATTGCAAGTAGACGAATCTGCCGGTTCAAATGGAATGTATTCAAGAAACTGAATGTAATCACCGTGTTTTCCCCATTTTTGCTTGCCCAAAGATTGTGGAGCTTTTTGGTGCTTTAAAAAGGTAGACTTGCTTAGTTATCCGGTTGACTACCTGCGACTGACTCTGGCTTGTAGTGCAGTCTGGGTAGCGCCTAATTTATGCCTGACACAGCCAGTAGCACCCGCCGTGAAAAGGGAGAGAGCCTCCAAGTCTGCCAATCCGGTGGCACCACATCGCCACCTACAACACAGCCAGGGAACGAGCGAGGGATGGGCTTGAAAGTAACGAAAAGTTTCGGACGAGAATCCAATTTCTCGTTTCGGAGGTACTGTATCAGCTGAGCATCTCTACCTCACATCCATTTATCCCCGCTCCCCCTGTCCTTTTATTTTCTTGTTCTACTGGATGCTCTCCCCCTCCTCTTTTATAAGTTTCACACTCTTTGTTTTGTTTTTTTGTCAGAAATGCTCTCTCTGTAAGGGTTTCCCCAACTGATGGGTGGTTATGGGTCGTTTTGGGGTTTGTGTTGCTTTTTTATGACTCCTACCACTAAGCCCCTTGTGACGGGAATAATCTCTCTCTTTCTCTAACTCTTTTCTTCGCTTGCCTCATAACGGTTTTTAGCGTGTCCGTTTCTTGGAGTCTCGACCTTGTGTCCTTGTGTAACTGAGTGTTTTGTCTTTGTCTCGTGTTTGAGTCGGACACTGCTGACGCTTGCAGGTCAGTTAGGAGGGGACGGGAGGGGTTGAACAGTGGCTTAGTGGTTGGTTGGGTCCTTGATGGCGCATGGAGGGGAAGATTCCCAGTCTTCTCCCCCTGCCCTCATTTACTTGTTTTCTTCAGGGACACGCCATCCCTACTGACTTCCCTGTTCCTCCTCTTCTTGCCCAGGAATTTCAATAAAACGCAGCCCGATTTTTTTCTCTAACTTTAACTCAAATCACTTTCTGTCTCTCGGTGGGTTCAAGGCCTTGTTTCCAGGTCTTCCCGAATCCTTGGTAAACTCCCTGCTTTTTAACAGATAATCCCTCTCTACCCATCTTCTTCCTTGTCCTTTCTCTATCTAATCAACTCCTTGGTAACACACACAAAAAATTGAATGTTTACATTACTCGATTCTCCTTTGACTTTATTAGGAACGCACACTAAGTACAAAGGCGCCTTATTCAGTGTTAAAAAATAACAGCAAGTTAAGTGGCCTCGAGAGATGCACCTTCTCCAGGCTCACTGATGTCCAAAACTAACAAAAACAATTTAGTGCTATACATACTGATTGAGAAACAAGGTGTAAACTTTTAAAATGGGAAAAAAATCACAAACTTTAACTAAACTAATCGCAAACAACTGAATGAGTATTTGTGCTTAGTATGTATACTACTAAAAAGTGAGAGAATGTGCTGGTTTACATATTAAAAAAAGAAAATATAATATATGAATATAAAATGTGTATATAGCACTATGCCTCGTTGTAAACATAAAATGTATTGTGTGTTCTTTTTTAAAGGTGGCGGGTCACAGTTGATTGCTAATCAAACAGGAGATGGTCAGGTCGGTTTTGCTCCATTGAGTTCATGTTTGTTCAGTACAGGGAGGAAATTAAGGGAAAAAAATTAAGTTGAAATGACTTCACACAAAGTCCAACACTGTTGTAAACGAAAGACAAAAAAGATACAAGTATCCCTTTAGACTATCACACTAGAAGGTTCTATTTCTTTGCTGTTTATGAAATGAGTAAATATTTTTTAATGTTTTTGTTTCTGTTTTTTTAAAAAGCAATTTGAAATGCAATACATAATAATCTTATCTTTAAGACAGCCTTTCCGAAAAACTGAGGTAATAATGTACAGTGTATGGTTGGTTGTTGAACTACAACACAGGCAATCTTTGAGCAGCGGATTCAATAGGCTACTGTACTGTATGTAGACTGCTGTTAAACACAAAAAAAAAATCATAAAAACAAACTACAGAAAGAATGTGGTCAGTTGTGTCGTAAACACATAACACGTATACAAAACAAATTGTACTAATATACTCTTGCACAAATAACGTCCCAAGTAGAGAAATATCTTCACAATATTTTCTTCTCATTGAAAGGAAGCTGTTGTAACTATGTTATTACCACATTCGATGGTGCACAGGTTGGTTCAAATCTGAGTTGCATTGAACACTCACTTGTATTACGGTAACAGCTAATAACTATACATATACGACTCTGGTAAAGGAATGTGGGAGGGAGGCAAAGAAGAAAAAAAATACAGTTGTCGCTGGTTTGACCCAGTTAAAGTTTCAGACTAGTTGATACAGATGCTTCGCACTGTAAAAATCCCAGTTTCACTGCTGCACCTTTACTTCATCCCAAAAAGGAAGCATTTGGATTAAATCAATTACAATCAAATGCAAGTTACAGAACGGTATAATGGTACAACTAGCTTAGAGTTTTGTGTTTGTAAAATAATGCAATACTTAAGCAGGATAGATGCAAAATAAAGCACGAAGGCAGCCTATCAAATTTGTGAATTTCGAAAAAGAAGAGGGTGTATGTTTCTTTACTACCTGAGGGGATGTGACAGGCAAGAACGGGTTGGAGATCAATGGTGTGAATGGGAGCCTTCAAACCTGTGTGGAAAATGTTTAGTTTTTCTTACTGATGACCAAACTGTTACCTTAAAAACACTTTTAGTAAGCAAATGTTAACTTTTTGCTGACCTAAACTATCTGTTTGGCCTTTTCGTGGAGGAAGAGCGTACACAGCTTCTACATGCAATCCAAAATTCAGACTTCCACTGACTCGAGGAAATGTGAGTGCGCAGTATGTGGTGGGATTTCTACAGTGGCTGCTGCTGTGCCTGTGAGGGTTCCTCCATTGTTATAGAGGTTATTGACATCAAAACAACCCAATTTTTCATCCTGGCAAGCCTTAAAAATCAATCGGGGAGGGGGGGAACGAAGCTACCACTAGCTTTTATTATTACTGTCTGAACTCCTTTCCAATCCAATGTGGTTTATTATTAAATAATTACTGACGTAATTAAAACTTTTTTCAATAGCCATATTATAAAAAGGTATATACATATATATGAATATATATTTGTGTGTTTGTGTAGATATCTAGATGATTATATACTTTCTTATAGAAAACTTTGATGTTGACCATTCTCCTCAGTGTTTTGAGAACAAGTTGACACATCTCAACATAATACCGCTGTCCACTTGGTCTAGGTCCTAGGTCGATGGACAACGAATCCAAATAATAAAAAAAGTTAGAAAAAAAAAACCTTCCAAAGGGAATTACCCTCGTCAGAATGCAATACCTTTCTTTCCACTCTTCATTTCAAAAGAATGGAAAATGGCAAGAAAACCATAAAACTTGATAGGCAAGTTGACCAAAAAATGTAATTTCAACAATAAAGAGCGTGGCTCGTGTAAAATGTGACATTTTCGACGGCCACGTCAGATTAAGTTTTATAGATGTGATGTTTCCAATGCCATGGCCCACTAAAACACTTCATTGTTTTTCTTTGTCACTTACTGTTTCTTAAGTTCAGAAAACAATGTATCTGTCAGCTAGCTGCACCATCAAATTAGCCCCTACCAGGACAGGAGTGCTTGCAATACCGGCCTGATTCTGGATTCCACTTCCGTCTTTGATCTGCAAATGTGTCACATTTCAACATCAAAAGTTGTACAATACACATAAAATAATGGGTAAACCGTCAAACTTGATGGCAACAGTGATGTCAAATAGGCACCAAGTAGGGACTGCAAACTGTCAAAATCTGCTAAATGTGAGTGGGTGTTTTTTTTGGTGGAGGAAAATATTTTGACATAAAAGGGCATACATTGTTTTTGTGGTTTTTCATTACTATTGATTTTATTGTCTATTTACATCTAATAACTATCAAATTCACATAAAGGATTTTTTTCTTTTTTAACTTAGTTTTTGGTAAAAACAAAAAAGGTAAATACTGCTAGTGAGATTTTATATTTTTACATATGTTGGTTTTATTTTGTTTCTTCTTTTTTTTTTATTTATACGCCACTTAGTTCGGATGTCTTCAAATGGTGTTATTTTCTCCGTTTTTGTGTGATTTCATATGTCTTGAGAATGTGGAGACAAAGGCATTTCAGTATTTTTGAATTGTTAAAATCTAGTTTCATAGAAGCGGAAGTATCTGATGTTATAAATTATATTTTAATTCATGTAAATAGTTTAAAACAGAAGACTATGGCTTCCTTTTAAACTGAATACATTTCTCTTCAGAGATTGTTTACATTATGAAACTGTAGAGATGTGCTCCTCATATACTGTATAAAAGTACATATATTCATTGATTTGCCTCCAAAAAATAAAATCCTAATGAACAGCATCCTCTCAGTTCTTATGGTGATTTCTTTTTTCACTGTTGGCTGTATTTACGGTGTTTCATTCAAAATATGACTTTTAACATATCTTCTCTGAATTATCTGGAGGAAGTTGGGTCTAGCAAATTTAATTTAGTCAGTTCAAAACATAAGAGTGGTGCAATTTGGTGTCATTTTTGTTATTCTAAACAAATCCCTTGAAAAGCCCAAAACCAACAATGCACCTTTCAATACGCTCCATGTTCTGTCTGGCCCACTCGTTTCTACTGAAGATGTAAATCTTTAAAATTGGGTAGCAAGATGGATATTGTAGTTTTTAGCAAACATTTAGCAGAACTAAATCAACAACAAATGTGGAAATACTTTGTGTATCTATGGTACAGTAGGAGCTCATTTGTGTTTTGGGATGGAGCTCACAATGGAGTTCTATGGCACAGAGGCTTAGCACACACACAGTACTTAGTATCAGTTCATTGTTGGTTTGACTCTTTTCATGGGATTTGTTGACAATAAGAAAAATAGGACATTTTTGGTTGTGTCGAAAATACTTTTTTAATCTATCAAAAGGCATCCAGTCTTCTCTTTACACAACATGACTCGTCTGTGGAATTCTGTCGTGATTTGACTGTGATCAAACTTGCCCTGTGGGTGGTGACGTCCTCAGTGTACTTGTACCCTGCATGACTAACTTTTGCTCTGGCCCTAGAAAAGTGCACTATATGATTATAGGATTTTTGTTAAATTCTCCACTCCAAATAGTGGTTAAGACACACCTCCAGGAGAAAAACACTTTTTAAAATGGGAAATCTTTAACTTCAGAGTTCAAATGTTATCAATTGGACTTTAACAGGGTTCCTACAAATTCCTTACTTTCTGAACTAAATTTTCCTGACTTGTCTTAAGATGTTTTTAGACCATATTTGACTTCTGAGTACAAATAGCTTGATGCTTTTTATGCCATTATGTTGCTAAATCATTTCCAGAAGATCATAGCTAGGTACTAGCTCGTACAAATCAGCTTTCTTTCCCCAATTGGATCCTTATCCAGCCAGACTTTATATTTGTGATTGTCAGGCCAGTCCTCGGAAAACTTGCATTACCCACTGTGACCGTTCACACTCCTACGCAGCTGGACGATGTTCCACAGTCAAATATCTCCACCTAAAGAGGAAGAAAACTAACCGGAGATCCCTACTCGTATTGTTTTCCCTCAACAAATTGAATTTAAAAAATCACATAATTACATTTTCGTGGCATCTGTGCAGCTTTGTTCATTCACTGTGTCCATGGAAACAACGATGAACACAGCCATAAAGGTTTCCTTTTGATAACTACATCACTGCAGACAAGCATAATATCTGATTACTACTATTAGTATGATCAATTTATTTGTACAATTTCTGAATTGTCTAAAAACAAATATTTTTTCATACTTATCCTAATCTGGAAAATACAAAAATCACATTCCATACTTTTCCATACTCCATACTACACAGGGTTCCTGTGTTTCTAAATATAATTAAATACATTTCTCCCGTTATTACCTGTTGGAATATTAGTTTTTAAAGTAAAAGTTAAAATCTTTCATGACTGTACAAATATTAAAACACTTGCATTTGCTCTTTTATTATGTGTATAAGATAATGGTTGTATAAGGTTTCTCTGTTGTGTGCTGATGCAATAAACCATCTCTCTCAGTAGTATTAGCAACAAACAAACTTCATCTTTAGACATACAGTTTGAATATTATCAAACCTTACGCCTGTATGAGTGTTTGTATACAGACAAGTGTTAGCATCCATACACAAGACTGCATGTATTGTGTGGCTGCTGTGATCAGTCTATCCATGCTGTGGAGAGGTTGAGCTTCATAAGCGGTACACTCACAGACACTCCCTCTTTCCAGTCTTCCCCTGGTTAAACAGCGTCCTATTAACAGGCCGCTGGCAATTTTCCGCCTGGCTAAACTGTGCTTCACATGTCAGTGACTGCACTGATGATGTCTGTGTGCAGGACATCACTATACCAGCACTGCTGTACTGATGGTCTCTGGTCTCCTGTCACTCCCACACCAGCAAAAACACATGGTAACATTTATGTTTCACAAAGCCCCAAGGATACGAGGGACGAGGAAAATGTACCAGGCCGAATATATATACATTTATTATTCAGTGATAGCGGCTGTGTTCTCTTTTTCAGCTATGTCAACTGTAGCAGTGTGTACTATGCTGCCAGATCATGCAAAAACATAGAGCTGCAAAGCTATACCTTTCAGTGTTGATTCCCAGTTGGTTTGGCACTACAAGTAACCACTTAAACAATACACAAAGCTGTTTGATTCAAGACACTAAGCCTTCTGCATGGCTTCTTGAATCTGAAATGTCATTCTTGTGGTCACTACCCACAGCTCATGACCATAGAGAGAGTTGGAACATAGACAAACTCACAATCAGGCTCCAGCTTTCACCCTTTCACAGTGACTGTCTGGTACACAATGCGATCTTATTCAGAAAGCTTACCCTCAACTGGGAACACGACTCTAATCTGGAGGGGGCATTGCACTGTACCATGGACAATGGCTCTCATTCCAACCACTTCACATTTTGCCTACACGTTGCAGACTTGGGGTCACAGTCCAGTAAAGCCAGCACAACTACATCATTTGTAAAAAGCAGACAACCCTGAGATCATCGAAGCGTAGACCCTTCTTGGCTTAGATGATACAGATTCCTTTCATGACTACCACAAACAGAATTGGTGACAAGGAACAGCCTCAGCAGAGTCCACGGCTCTACAAACCTGCTTGACTCACTTTGGAGAACATAAAATAGTTCTCACTTGCTGTAATAAATCAACCAAATGGCTCGTAGCTACACAACCAACAATCTATATGCCCACGGTATCTCTAAGAGAACCATTCTACTAATGAGGCCAGACTTAGATCAATAAAACATCATTTAGCTCAACAGCACCTCCTACAACTACAGCCTCCAAAATAACCAGAAAGTGGAATCAGCGCTTTGCTCAAACAGCTCCAACAAAAACCCAACATCATAACCTTCATGAGGGTAAGATATATTGGAAAGCTGTTGTATAAGACTGAATTAGTTTCAGCTAGGTGTCCCTCATAAACTTCCAACTGAGTATTAACATTATAAACTTCCAACTCCAGTAATTCATGTATGACTGAAGTGACTTTACTTTGGTTGATAGAGCCATTTGTAAAGCATGAACCTTTTCTTTTTTTGACTGTGATTAATTGTACAGCCCAAAGCCAGAGGAGAAAGCAGACGATTAGAAATCATCCTGTCAGCCATTTCCTGCCCTGCTGTCCTCTGTTTGGTTGTTTCTGTGGGGCAGTCGTGACTGCAGCAAACAGAGCTGCTCTGCAGTGCAGTGCCGAGTTATTAGACACACACTGTCGTCCCCATGAGCCTCTGCTCAACTCTGACAGGGACACCAGGACAAGACACCACTATCAACCTTATGACTTCTTTTAGTCAGCCATGTTGAGACTCTGTGAATGATGTTCCTTCATCCGTTCTATACAGCCTGTCTGGGGCGATGTGATTGGGCTACATTGGTTCGCTTACTTTTTCCTCCTTCCTTCTTTCATTTGTCAAGCAAAATTTAAAAAATATTAGTTCAGTTAGATTTTTTTCTAAGTAAAGCTGGGCACTGTGATTGATCATTATTCTTGTACTTTGTGTTAACATACTACACATTTATTCTTTCTTTCTGTACGACCAGAACCTGCAACCTTTATGCTGCCATTGTATGGATCATTTGACTGGTCCCACCCATAAATTCTGCCCATAATTCAAGTTCATTCAAACAAGACACCAGCATCCTCAACAATGTTGGCAAAAAGAGAGAAAGGCAGCAGTAGTTTGTGCAATTGAACAGAGAGTAAGAAAAAGGAAAGATATGGAGCGGCATATAGCTGAAGACGCAGACAATATGGTCTGTTTTACATCACAACTCAGTCTCACTCAAGGTTACAGTTTCGTCCCATATAAAATGCTACACTGCTAATGCTAATATTAAAACAAGCTCACTACAGTTTATAACAGATCACTGTACAGCAGCATCATGGGAACTGTGGATCTGCTCAGACCGCAAACAGCCGACTGAAATTTGGGACATACCAGAAATCCAACAGATCGTCCTAGAACCAGATTGTTCAGCATAGTCATCAGGCATTGTGAGTGCCCATCGGGACTACATGTCAAATGACCACCTATTTGGCAGAAACTTTTTTTTTTAATTAGCCAGGGGCGTATTAGTCAATACAGTGCATTTACACTGATTGGCCGATGATCAATATTGCCAGAATGACATCCATCCATCCAACCCCTCCTTCCTACATAGACTGTCACTCCTTAGACTGCTTTGCCAATAATCATGTATTTTTCTAGTCTAGGTGCAGCACAACATGACACTGACAGTATCAGCTAGTAAATCGGCTGCTCTATTACACGCTTTGGCATGAGACTGGGCTGGGTAGTGAGGATGACGACAGCTTTTGTTTTACATTTCTTAAAGAGAATGTTGTGTCTCACAGTTTCCAAAATTAGACATAGAGTACATCAATTATAGGAGGGAAGCAACATTTACAGATTAACACGAGGCGAAATGTGCATAAAAACATTTTAATTGCTGTTTCCTTTGTTTGTGTTTACATCTGCAGTGCATTTTGTGGTTATTCATTCTGCACATTGCAATAAATGAGAAATTAGGTTTTCAGTGAGTGTTGTCTCTCGGGACGCCAACTGAGCTCAGACAGGACACATGACAGTGCAGAAAGCACTATCAGGTCAAAGGTCACCTCGTGGAACACGCTGATGACTTAAATACAGTGGAAGCTGACCCTTTTTGACACACACATCCACTAAATGATGACATGCAATTTTAATTTCAATTCAATTCAATTTTATTTGTATAGCGCCAATTCATAACAGAAGTTATCTCAGGACACTTTTCACATAGAGCAGGCCCAGACCGAACTCCTTAGACGGCGGCAAGGAAAAACTGCCTTTAAAGAGGCAGAAACCTGTATTTTGAGGTTATTGATTGTTGCATTAATGCATGTTTCAATTTTACCGTTGGATGTTGTTGGTTTGCTAGATTGGCATTTATCCTGGCTTAAATTAAATACTATAATATTCTTTATTCAGTAACATTTATTTCATGGCTATAAATTATATTAGCCCCAAAACATCCCCTGACACCTCAGGGGATTTTGACCCTGAGATGGAGAACAACTGCTTCACAGTCCAGCAGTACGGAACAGATTCAGGCAAATATATCAGTGTTTCAGTTTGTGATACAGTTGCTTTCTGCACAGATCCTGCATATTGTGCGAGACGTTGGATAAGCCTCTTAACTGTCCTCATGAGACATGTTGATCCAAGAAGCCACATCACACCTGCTGCGACTGAAATGATTTGGTATGGTTTGGGGCATGTATTGAAGAAAGGTGAGAAAAGGCGTGATTAAAAAGGTCACATCAGTGTGTCCTCAGATCTCTCAGTTATTCCATTACTTCAATATCTTTTTGTCTTTGAAAACTGAGAAATCCAACTATCGCCGCACTTATTTCACACTGATCTTGGTGCTTTGCTTCCACAGGTCACAGGAGTAAGACTCATCCAATTGTTGTCCTAGAATTTTATTAACTATGATTTTGACAATCAATTAACCTTTTTATTGATTTGATTTTTTATAGAAATGCCACACAATTTTTAAATATGGCTAAAAAAACTCATCAGTTTCATCCCTGGGTATGCCAGTGCTGCATCTCTGACACTGCACACTCATCACTACCTGAAACCCATGTCCTACTGTCAGAATTTGAGGTCATCAGGTGATCAGGGCATCGGCTAAAACGCTACCATATAAATAAGTGTGCGTCATAAAATGCTGACGAATGCATTTGCTGGGGGCAAAGAAAGCCTGCGCAAACTAGTCAAGTGACTTCCTCTGCTTAGAAACTGCAGCCAACCCATGCATAGTGGTCCTATAAATAGTCCTGCATTGCTCCCTCGGCTGTGGCTTGCAGGCTGGCAGCTCTGCAGTCACGACTGCCCCCGATCGCTGCTAGAATGAGGCTAAAGCTCCCTTCCGAGCAGGCTCACTGCTTGTACTGCAGCTGCTGCTCTCCCCCCTCTCCCTCTCTCTCTCTCTCTCTCTGCAGTCACGGGTTATCCCTGCGTCAGAGCCAAGCTTTGCAAGCTCCGCTGATCATCACAACCATATACGGCAATCCTTTGAGCTCCCAGCATGCCTTTACGTCATGGGGACTTACGTCATACACCAGTGACGACACACACTTAGCTTATGTATCCATGCTATTATTATATTACTACAGCGTGTGAGGGAGGCAGAGAAAGGCGATGATGAATTTAGCTCATGTCCTGCCCCCTGTTGATGCTCCAGTGGCGATCAGTTTTCATTATCCCACTCTGGCTTCATGTTGTGTTTTGTAACAGCATTATGTATGGCTCTAGGTGGGGAAATTAACTAATGTGTACAAACACGAATGCATTCAAATGGATAGTGCAGCTGGCAGATATGTATATCTTGTCAGCTGTTGTGTAAGTCGTCTTTTATGCATGTTTCCGTTTCCTGCAGCAACCCTGCATTAGTGCTGCAGATTATTCTCTCCCATCCACAGAAATATCTTTTACTCTCACACAGCCAGTTTCCAGTATTTTACATGTTGAACATGGAAAAACGTACTGTACTTTACTGTAAACCTCCACAGCTGCGACTTGCATCGGTTAGTGAAAAACCCACAACAAACGTTTTTCCATGTTTGCTTTGAATTTGAACATGCGTTTACCATAAAGATGTTGCTGTTGTTGTGCTGGGGCTGGGTTGTGAGTGGTGTCAGGATTTTCTTTTCCCTAGAATTGTCCAGATAGTGTGCCCTTACTTTGTCCTCGGGGTGATCTGTTCTCAGTAAGCAAGGATTTGGTCATTTGCAGGTCAAAAGATGTCTAAGCCTCTAGAATTAAACTGAGCTAAATGTGGTTAGAAGGTTTTGCATACCGCAGACATGTAAGTTACAACAACATTTAGCCAGCAAGACACAGGTCCAACACATTACTCGTTACTACTGAAATATAGGAATTACAATGCTGTCACAACAACAGTTATATGTAACCTAGACTACTGAAAACCATTTGCTTTTGAAAAGAATTAAACAGTTTTAACTTCAGTCTCTTTTGTAAATCAGAGATTTCTGGGTTGTGTTGTTCAAGCACAATCATTGGGACAAGATACTCAATAAATAGAACAATTTAAAGCTTGACAACCGTCTTGTAGAATCATTAAACATTAGTGGTTTGGGATAAAAAGATTTAGAATTTTGTCATTTCTGTTCCCTGGCTTGAATTGGATGCAAAGACACACTACCAGTGAGGATACCTACTTTTGGGAAAATAAGTTTTTGCACAACACTTAGCCAGCTCCTGCACACCGCTGTCAGTCAAATGCTTACTGGGTTGTAAATGCTCATGGTTGAAAAGAGTGCAAAACCTTTCCAAACAGATTCTCTCGGGAATGAAAGTGCAGTGAGAGTTCAACAAACATGCAGGAAAAGTGTAACAAGCAGGTGTCTTGGAAATTAAATTCCGACAGAAGAGCATTCAAATATGCTGTCTATGTAAAAACACATCATACATACACCGATATGAGTGTTTAATGCTGAAATACACACATTTCATAACCGCTCATCGCAAGATCACTGAAACAGTTGAACAGCCATGGGAAAGGCTGATCATATTGTATATATATATATATATATATTGCTATTGATCATACTATTATATAGTATATATGTAATATATGTCAAATATGTTTGTTTTCCATTCAGAGCAATGAAACTACTCAGAAATTGATGTTGATGCACTGGGCGTCCACACACAGTGAGCGGTGGTATATTTAGATACTTCTCTCATGACATGTGCTTACATACTGTACACACACACACACACACACACACACACACACACACACACACACACACACACACACACACACCAAGCTCAGTAAAAACACAGACACAAAGTAATTGAAGTAATTCAGTAAGAAAATAGCAATAATCTTTACTAATCTCAGCAAAGTGACTTATAAGCACTGTCACATTTCCTCATCACCAACTACAGTAAAAGTAATACATGCTGTGTGTTGAGAGAGAAATGAGTCTACAGAAAGACAATTTTGCATATAATAATTTGTTAGTATGGACAAGCTTATAACAGATTTCAATTTACAGTATCGAGTCAAACCAATAGTGCAGAGCAGAAAATGAGCTCTCAGTGACGGACCAATAACAGAACAACACGTACATCTATCTTACAAGCTAAGTTCTGTTTCTTTTCATGCTCATTATACATTCTGACTTCTTGACAGCATACAGACAAACAAGCTGAGACTAATGTGTCAACACAGTGAATGTCACAAGACCTGAGCCAAAAATACAAAATAACTGTTGACATTTGATTCACAGACAGTGTTGATATGCCCTGTTTCACTCTCCGTTAATATTACTGCATCATAAAGGATCAACATCTACAAAATACACAGGATATTATGCAAAATCCCTTAAAACACCAAAACGCCTGACAATCTGAGCTATGAATTGTTGATTGTCTTAGACCTTCTTTTGCTACTATCTAAATCTTTTTGACATCTTTTGTCTTCAACCTTTTCAATCAAGGGTTCATGAAAGCCACATCCTCAGACTGCAGATGTTTTCAGCTTCTACATTTTGCACATTTTGTCCGGTTTTGACCAACCAGAGGTTTTTGCAAAACTAAACATTTTTTGATGTGGAAATTTGGATTAGATGTAGACCAGCCACCATCCCAGATTAAATGGACTCGTTTCATGTTTTAGCCCATTAGCTACTACATTTGGTTGCTGGTTTCAGTTAGGGCTAGCAGCCAGCACTGTTATAATCAATTTAAAGCAATGTGCACGGTAAAGCTGAATAAATAGTGTTTTTTGAAATAATTTTTTTCTTTCTTGATTTTCAACATATGACATATAACATATGCTGGTGCAAGAAGCAGTGCAGAAGGAAAGCAGTAGAGGAAAGCGTCGAAGGGACAAAATATCAATAAATACAGCCATAGGAGACATCTGTAAAGTGTTTTGAAGTTTACTGTATAATACATTATTTTTGAGGAAACCCAGTGCTGGACCACATCCATGTAGCAAGCAAGCTGGTACTGTTGTAGCATCTCTAGCTGAGAATGCAAGTCTTTGATTGTGACTGGGCTGCACTCGCTGCAGGAGGAAGGAAGGAAGGAAGGAAGGAAGGAAGGAAGGAAGGAAGGAAGACAGAAAACAAGGAGTTATTTTTTTTATTTAAAGTGAAAAATTAATTCAAACATTTTTCAGTTTCTACACCGGTATGTGTGTATTTGTGTGTTATTATGGTTACCAAGCAGCAGTTTTACCATACATTTGACACTCACATGAAATTGAGACAGTAATGCATTTTCTGTGAGTGTTCACGCGTGTGAGAGCCTCCTACCTTGTTTGGCCCCCCCAGTTTTCTGTGCTTCCTCCTCCTTGGCTTTCTTGGCCTCCTCGAGGGCAGCCAGTTTGGCCTCATGCTCCTCCTTCAGGGCATTCCACTCCTTCCTGTTATTCAGCAGGCGGTCCAGCATGGGGGTGATCTCCACATGGAAACGACTGAACTCCTGGGACAAATTAAATCACATCAAATCAATACTGCTTTGTTAGATCCAAAGTGTTAACATTTATAAAATCAAATAAATATAACACAAACGAATGAGTGTGGACAATGTCGATTATGGTAATCCAGTTGCACACCTGAAATAAAGTTACTCAGTAATGTTACTCATGTGGTCTTGAGAGAAAACGTCAGACCTGCATGTAAATGTACCCACAGTTTAGCCAGCTATGTTTAGTAGGTTAAAGGGACTCAGTAGTGAATGTTTCTGTGTGTTTGTGAGGTGTGATGTCTGACCTTGTACACAAAAGCGCAAACGAAATCGATGAAACCACACTGCAGCTTCGGCAGATCAGCTGCTTTGTTTCTGTCCATCATAGGCTGGAGGAGAGAGAGAAACGTGTTTAAAATATTCACATACACTGATCAACCTTTCTGCTAAGCATCTAGATGCTTCTATACTCTGATTAAATATCGTATCGATACCACCAAGGAGTCTATTTTAATGCAATCTCTATGAACAGATATCTGCATTTGAATGCAGAATCTGTAGGCAAGGGACCAAGATTTTGATAGTGGAAGCATTCTGGTTTCCGTTTTGTAGTCCGAGTAGTTTCACTTTGTCGGCTTTCATTTTTCTGTTTATTCGTCTCTCAACTCGAAGCTACATTCTCTCATCTCAGGTTGCTAACTGGACTGTAAACTATGACAGGCGCACCACAGAGGAAGTTTTGGTCCAGATACCTACTGGTTACATTGCCCTGAAACACTGGCCATTGCCGCCAGAGGCTAAATTGTCATCAATTCCCGATAGGTAGTGATATTGGTACAGAAGAAATTCCAATGTCAGAAACATCCAATCGGAACCCAAATAGTCTCCTTTAAAGCAGAAGAAGAGGGCTCTAGTTCCTCAGTGTGACCTTTGCGAGTGTAAATAAAGTCTGATGAACATGCAAGGTTTGATTAGATCCCCATTAGCAGCCACATCTAAAATGTACCTGGTGCACCTGGTAGCACACTGGACTGTAAAAACCTGGCAGAGAAAGTTCATGCTGGCTATAATTGCTGGCAAAATTGCCCACCTACATTTCCTGACAAAATTGTTCAAGTGTCACAGCCTCTGCAAAGTCTTTTTTTTTTCTTGTCAGACCACAGTGAGTCACAAAATCGACTGCTGGGAAAATACAAACTGATCAAAATGAAAACTTTTCCCCGCTGACACAGATGCTATTAAATTCAGAGCACTGCGAGGTGAGAGAGTGTGGGATGGTGCTTCTCGCACTTCAAGTGTCTCAAGGACACGAGGGAATGAAACAGAGCGAGGAGAGAAAGACACAGGGGCAGAATGGAGGAGAGAGAGCCAGGGGAGGGTATGGTCGGCTGGGTTAGGGCCACAGTGCCCGCTCTTTCTGTATCAGTGCTCCACATAATGGGCTGTACATCGCCAACACCGCCGCCATGGGGAACTAAATCTGTCTTTTCATTTTGTCTTCCGACTGCGTTTCTGTCTCTTGTTCTCTCTCATCGTGTCCTTCCTACTCTCAATCCTAAATTAAAGCCCCAAGGAGAGCCTTGTCCTGCCTTAATTCCCATGATTCCTGTCCACCCACCAAATCTTCTTTCTTCTCCTCTCAAACTCTAGCTTACTGGCACAAACTGATTTAAAATAAAAAAAACTGGAAAGCAGTGAAATACACATTACACAGAAAAGCCCAGGCACACAAAACTACAATTCAAATTAATTAAAAAGATTAATCAGACATCTGCTTTGCATCATAAACAGTTTAACTTTGCATCATAAACAGGTTCAAACTATAGGATGACATGATTAACATGTTTGTTAAGATTATAGTTATAAAAGAGGAAAAAAAAGATCTAATGATAAAGGGTCCAACAAGCCTGAGGCTCATTTGAAAGACCAGATAGTCCTAAAGCTCTGCACTTCAGGACTGTAACTTGTTAACTCTAACTCTATGGTGAACCAGACTCCTGAAAGGTTTGTATAGCATATAGTGTCAAAGGTCCATCTACAAGTTTTTTAAAAAGAAGTAACCATGGCCGAATCCCAATATAATAGGCCTCGTGTGGATAGTTTCTAAAAAAAAAAAAATCTTAAAAAGCATTTAGACAGGATCAGAAGAAGACATTTCAACATCTTGATTATGTTCTACACAGTGGACATTTCACAGGAAACAAATATATTCAATAAATATGCAATTAGTAAAATTAGTGATAGAACCAGATAAGACTGATGAGGTCAAATTGTCCTCAGATTTTAGCAAACACATACTGCCATAACCAATCTAGTAATAATGATCAGTAATAATAATTATGTTTTGCTTTATTGACTCTTGAAGGGAAATCCTCTTTTCTGAGGTCAGAGATCAACTATTAATAGAACCGCAGCACAGTTCCAGTCCTCTAAACCTTCTTTTTAGCATCTCTTTCTCTCTCAAGCACCACTCTCTCTGTGTCCTTACAATGGGTTGTTGCTCCAGGACTGTTCTCTCCAGGTCTCCCTGCTCCCAGAACTCTGCAGCTACAGACAGCGCCACCTAGAGGGTGAGACAAAAAGTTTTGAGATGTCAGTCAATAAGAATTTGTCTGTTTGGCTGCTGTTGACAACACAATACAACTATTATGGGTATTTGATCATCACTTCAACGGAGTACATAAACCTCTGCGGTCAAATTACATAGCAATCGAACAGAGCTGCTTCTTAACATTTTTGAGATTTCAATTCAATTTCAGAATCAGTTTTCAAATCTGAATGACAATATGTTGCATATGTATTCATTAACAGTGTCCAAGATGTTGTCTTTAAAAGGACCAGTGTGTAGGATTCAGTAGCATCTAGCGGAGAAGTTGCAGATATCTACAGCCAGTGTTTGGGTTATCCATTCTGGGCTACTGTAGAAACATGACGGTTCAACATGGTGGACATCGTAGAAGAGAGACACCCCCTAATGTAGAAAAAAAACAGCTCATTTAAGGTAGATATATCTGCCTAAATGTTACACACTGGACCTTTAAATTGTTTATTTTGTGCAACCAACATCCCTAAACCTAAAGATGTTAAATGCACAATGACATAAAACCGTAGCGAGTCCTGGAACCAGAAACCAGAAAGTTCTTGTACTTGTACTAATCTATCAGAAATCTTGTAGATATATTTTCCCTGCATTGACAAATTAATTAAGACTACCAATTTCAGAACTACATATTCCAACACAGGCTGTCATATACAATAGCAGCTGTTGGAGCAGAATTTTCCATTCGAGTGGGATTTTATCAAGCAGGATATCTTCCCGTGTATGTTGTTAAAATCATCCTATAAAGCTTTCACAACATCCCATAAACGAGAATCTTATTCACAGCTCACGAGGCAGTTTCAGGCTTTGTGTCTTGGTTAGATCAAAGCCAGTTTAGTCTGCCCTCACAAACCTTAAATGGAGCAACGTGAGATCTGATGAATAATATCTGAATTCTGTATTCAGGGTAGAAACCTCATTTTAGAAAGAGTTAGTCATCAAGCCAGTTTTGGGGAACAATTGCCATGAGGCTGGTGGGCCTGTGGACAGATATTCTGTATGCGTGGGAAGCGGAACTGAGGGAAAAATAAAATATCAGCCATAAAAATGTCAGCGGAATATTTTATCAAGACTAAAGCAGCTTGAGCTTTTGTCTCTCCCTAACATCTTAAAGAGGGCTGTCTATCATAAACACAAATCTGAGAGAATTTATTTGTACTTGATTCTTATGTCGGAATACGGCCATCTTATCAACTTAATTTACAAAGTAGAGCTACAGTATGTTAGAGACTCATTTTGCACCAACAGAGAATCTCTCTGGTTAAATTAAATTCTGGTATCGACTATCTGCAGGTCCCTGCACATGATCATCACCAAAACTGGAGTATGGAGGGTTTGGTATGACAGCTATGATATGTTATCACTGTATTCAGGGTGGAATTCACCTGTAAAAGGAAAGAATTAGTCATCAAACTACTTTTGGAGCACAATTCACAGGAGGGTGGCTGCTGCTGTAGATAGATGTTCTGGCAGTGTGTGTGGGATGTAGAGCTGACTCACCATGTGCAGACAAAGGTGAAATCCAACCAGAAATAAAATATCTGCCAAAAAAATAAAAAGTGGAATCTCCTAATTGGCAGCGGCTGTGCAATGCAGGAGGAGTAACAGAACTGAACTTGCTTTATTAATTAATATATAATAAGAATATGTTGCAGGTCTAACACTTGGTGTGGAAATAATGATTCTTGTTTGATATGATGGGCTGTTCTGTTCTATATCAGCATGTACAGAGTCAGTTCAGTAGATTAATTATAGTTGGATGTCATGTACTTCTGACTGATTTGGCAGTACCACCGCCACCGTGGCCTACTAGATGGCGCTCTGCAGCCCACTGGTTGAGAATGGCAGAGCTGGACTATTGTTCTTTTCTTAGACTTAGTCATGCTGGATAGATAATCATGAAAACCAAACCAAAGTTTAATTTCTCATTCACAGCGATAGACTTCTTTTACCCGGTGGAGTTATTATTATATAATATTAAAATATATTTTAAAAAAGTGTCCACCAACACACGTACACACACAGATTGGAACAAAATAAACAGAATAATGTATCTGGCCATGTCCCCTTCCACAAAATGGTAAATGTAGAACCGTTCTTTCTACTGAGTATATACCTACAGGGCAGCAGCCTGCTGGACAGGTGACTTTAATGGACAAACTTCTGCTACTGTCAAAGACATATAACAGATTATTATCTTTATCTTTTGCATCAAACACATTTACACAGCACTCAATGGCTGTGCTTTAAATCACCATTACTGATTTTATTATGGGTTCTATGTTGATGCAATTGCTATGAGTCACCAGCTTATGTGTGTGTACAAGAATATGAAGCAGGCACTACTGAAAAAGAACATATGTTCCCAGTCAATTGCAGACAAATAAAGGTAAAAAATGACCCTCCAGCAGCGGCTGTCGAGCAGCCAGAGACGCTTCCTGTTCATATTGATATGCCATGTGTGCAGGCTCGATGGCGATGTGTATATTACATAGTTAACTGAAATAAAATGCTGAGCCTGCCAGGTGGTGATGAGGGAAATGAAAAGCACCAAGTTGCTCTTGATGCATGAGGCCGTCAGGAGTCACTGCTGAACGCTGCTGAGAGAAATGGCAGCACTGACAAAATGTCATTCTCTGTCTACTTTATCACTGGTTCCCCTCTCACAGAGCCTCTCTCCTGGAGCCTGTGTACGAGTGTGTCTTATTGCTGTGACCGGCTGGATGTCATTGAGGCTGGAGTGTCATTTTACAACTACTACTGTGAAGTATGAAAAGGGCCTTGTGCAGAGATCACACAGGTGTGTACCTTGCTCTGAATCTCCCACGGTTTGGCGATGGCAGACAGATCACAGGCAGTCATCATCATGGCCCTGGAAACACAACACATGACTGAGATCTGTATGTCTGTATATCTCTGTTGGTAATAAATACCCCCCAAATTACCATCAACAGCTAGTAAGTTGAAGGATTTGGAGATCAACATAGAAGTGGTGGGTATCATTCACCCGTGTGCAACATTAAATAGACCAGCATATTGAAAATAATAATAAAACAAAAAAAACATGAGCATACTACACTAAGTTCAATAAAAGTAGTGTGTGTGTGTATGTGTGTGTGTGTGTGTGTGTGTGTGTGCGCGTGTGTGTGTGTGTGTGTGTGTGTGTGTGTGTGTGTGTGTGTGTGTGTGTGTGGGCCTACATGACAATCTCTTTGCGCGTGGTCTCCAGCATCATGTACTTGGTCCAGTCATTCCAGCTCTCGTAGGTCTTGGACTGGTCCACGATCTTCTGGAACATCGTCCTCTTCCTGCACAGAAACACAACAGGACTGTAATACAGAGACACTATCTTTATCACGTGTTTTTTTTACAAGGCATTAGGGATAAATGTTTCTACAGATTCTTGACTTGATGTTGGTGGGTGGGGCAAACTACATGTGGAGTAAGGAGTGTGCCAAAATAATCCACCAAGTTGTTTCCTTCCAAAATCAATTTATGAAGTCACTCATTATATTTTTATTAGAATTCTGTTAAAAAACTGAAAACTATAATTTTTTTATTAAATGTGCCACTCAATTTGTTTGATCAATAAATAGCTGTGTTCATGTATCTGCCATTGTACTGACTTGAAGTAGAGAGCCAGGTCAGTGGCGATAATAGCGATGTCCATGAGGTGGATGACAGTGTCGTGCTGACGGCGGTTCAGATTCTGATAAATGTTCAACGACTGAAACAAGAGGAAGTGAAAAAAAAAAGTCACGTCAAACTATGAAAAACAGGAACAGCAGGTAGTACATGGGTATATGTCTGTGTGTGTGGCTGCAGCTCCCATAAGCACGGCAAAGACTTGTTGAATGGTCATCATTTTAATTTAAGTTTCCTTTTTTCCCCCCTCACTGAGACACTAGTCTAGCTAAGAGAGGGGTGGGCCTTCAGTTCTTCATATGTATTGCAGCGCTGTTGTGTTGCATTGCTTTACTTTGTACAGGTGTTCAGGAGCTAATGTGTCCACCCTGTATGCATGTACGTGTGAGTGTGTGTGTGTGTGTGTGTGTGTGTGTGTACTGCGGCATACTTCATCTCTCAGCAGAGTCTTGCCAGTCTCCAGATGGTGCCTTTCCAAGATGGAGGAGCCGTGAAGCTTCGCCAGAGGATTACCAGACCTGGAAACACACACGCACGCACGCACACACACACAGAGTATGTTGGGAGGTTACACTGTGATAAATCATGCATGTTAAACACAGGGTGGGCCTGGCCTGCTGTGTCTGCGGCTAATGGCGGCTCTCATTAGCTCATCCATCAGCAGGTGGAGCAGAGCAGCTGGAGGTGTTTCTGCTCAATATCAGCTCATTGATGTTCTCCGTGTGTGACGTTACCTTCACCTAAAAGGCTGAGATCAGCTCGCCTGTATACAGGAGGAGTGGCTGTTGTCACTTTGAGTCAATTAAAACAGCCTCAGTCTGATTTCGAAAATGAGAGAAAGAAATTGGGTCATGGCAGCAGTTAGTAATAAATAAAACCATATTTGTAATGTATCATGCTGTTTATGTCTAATCACGGTCTGCTTTGATTTTAGGGAGTTTTTTCCAATCTGACATATTTTTTCCTTTTTTTGATTATATTCGATTCATAGTTTGACTTGGACTGACTACTTAAAGTTCACCTATTAAACTTCAAGATTTAGACGCCTGCTATATTATATATCTAGTGATTGCTCTCACTAACCAAAGAGAAATCCCTTATGGGATAATACTACATACAGGTACTGCATTGTGTTAACTCTTTGTTTGAACTTCTTTGTACTCAGCGCGCCTCAGCAACATTTATGTTCTCGTTTCCCTGAAGCTTCAGTGTTCTCAGACTGGTTCTTATATTTCCAATTTGATGAATCCCAAGAGCCTATAATGCATCAACAGTTACAAATTGAAGCTAAATTAATATAGCTTTAAAGAAACAACCACAAATAAATTTTAATAAAAAAATAATCTAAGTACAAACAAATATAACCAAGACATATAGCCGTTTTATGTTTTACATAAATTCAAAGTAATCGACTTATCCTCCTGCAGTTGGGCTGTGTAGGCATCAAACATGTCCACTTACAGCTGATTAAACCACATGCTGACACTCCCCCTCCACCCCTGTGTCCCCCTTTCCTCCCCGCTGAAGCTCTTACTTTAGCTGGTAGAGGTTGTTGGTTCCTCTGTGGTCGATATCGTGGCAGAAGCCAGCAGTCACCATGGCCATACACTCCAGATCTGTGTAGTAACGCTTCAGGTCACCTGTCTAAAAACACAAACACACACAGTAGACAGGTAGGTATATACACAGATATTATCACTAATGCATGCCATGGCAGTACACAAACATACTTTTTTGTTTTATGATCATCTGCGTGTTAGAATTACTGGTTTTGTCGGTGGAGTCTGGTGGGCTGTAGCACACAGTTCTTTTAGTCTGAGATACCGTGTTCTAGTGCAACATCCCGGAGCAGGATTTCATATATATAACCTTTAATGATTTATGCTATGGGGTTTCATCTCCAAAAGGAAGGTGAGCAATACATGTCCATACACACAGACAGACAGACAGACAGACAGACAGACAGAGGTTAACCAGGTTTCCCAGCAGGGTCTGTATGTGTATAAACAATAAGGACACTCACTGGTTTTCTTATTAATGGACAGTTCAGGCTACGCTGCCTCACTTTGCATTTACAGACACACTTCATTATCTCCCTCATTTACACACAAACAGATAAACATACATATACACAGCGAAGAGCATGATCACACATACAGTACACTCCAGAGGACTACACAAGGAACGAAAGAGGAGGAGAAAGAACGTTTATTACTCAGAGAGAGGAGGAGGACGAACAGGAAAGATGAAAGATGAGGAGATGTGAAGAGGAGGGGGAGAAGAGTGGGTTTACTGGAGAGAGGTGGAAGAAAAGATTGAGAGCAGGAGGTGAAGGATTGATGGGTACTTAGGGAGAAGAGGAAGATGGAAGGACAGCGGTGTGGAAGAGTGAGTCAGTTTGTGTGTGTCTGACCATCAGCAGGGTGAACATGGTCTGTCCGACGTTGAATCCGTGTCTCCAGTTGTGGTAGGTGATACACCGGTAGCCTTTACTGAGAGAGTACATGAACCTCACCAGGACCTGACACACACACACACACACACACACACACACACACACACACACACACACACACACACACAGACAGTACTTTTAGTCTGCTAATGCTAACTTATTGCTCTACAGCATCGGTCTAAATCTACTGTTTGGCACTTTTTAGTCAAAGCATCCGTTTAATGTATTGCAAAACTTATAACAGGAGCTTCCAACAACCGCTTTGAAATTGCAGCTCTTTGAGATATATAACACATGGATTCATTTAGCAAACGTTAGAAAAACATGAACATCACGCGATCCTAACCATCCAATTAATGAACTAACCAAGAACCCACCTCTCTGGGAATGTGAAACTTGTCCACCACTTTCAGTTCGTAGTACATCTTGATGCCGCATTTCACAAGGTCCAGTTCACTGTGTTCAAAGTCACAGAAGTGAAACTCTAAGATCTCAGATTTCTTAGAGTTCGGCAAGACCTCCGACTGTGGACAGAGATGGACAAATGTGTGTCAATTTAGAATTTATATTTTTGCAATCATTTTGTCAGACCTTAGTGTGTCACCTAGAGTGAATACTTTTTAAAAATACTTTTTTTCTCATATTGAAGTGGAAGCGTGGAAAAGTTAGAACCCTTGCAGTATAACCAAGAGGTCACAGGTTTAATGTTTGAGGTTTAAAATGTTACAGTCTGTCCTCAACTTTCCTGACATGGTGGTGTGTACTTTATAACCAATTTCACACTCCCACTTTTTTCTTCCCACCTTCAGGGAATCATGTTGCATCAGGGGAAATGTATTTTTGCACAAACTGGTTGTTTTGTTGTTGTTTACCAGAATCTCTTGGAGCTCCTCTTCCTCGCACTCATCCGGTTCCTTCCCCCATCTCTCCCTGGTGTTCTAGGGAAAACACACATCATCAACTCTCACCTTGGATGAAATGGTTCAGCATCAATCACCTGACTCCTGATCTAAGGTCAAACCAGGTCATCTCTCTGCTTTTGTTCTCAGTCTCTCTCTCTGTCCACTGACAAATCACCTCATAGAACATTTGACAGCTTATTTCAGTTTATAAACGATGCTCACCCTCCTGTTTATATCATCCACATCAACCAAATGGTTTGAAACCGACTGGTTTTAATCTGTCTAGCCCAAATATCAAAGGATAAAGCAAGGCACGGATGCTGCAGGCTTGGGAATAGGTCTTCTCTTTCTCCCTTTATAGTTATAAATACATTTTTCATCTCATCCTTGGAGCACTTTGGAGTGTGGTTTGTATTTCATTTCCAAAAAACCCTACTGTCCCTAATTTGAATATTAAAATAACTTAACATTTTCCATTCAAGGTGTTACTTTGCTGAAATTTGAATCAATAAAAAGGTGAAGATCAGACTTAATTGGACAAAACTACATAGTACTAAATAAAGTACAAGCATCTGGCTGGCAAACCACTATCATCAAATTAAACAGTTTCTTCCTTGGCCCATTTCAAACTTGTTTTGCATTAACATTTTCATTACTTCAGTTCATAGGGGAAATGAGCATTTAGATATGCCTGTTGTCAGTGTAACCACTTTCACATATTTTAGAAACCTCAAGAGGCCAAGTAAAGAAAATAAATATTCTAACTTGTGTAAAGTTATAGCCTAATGTTTTATGTTGGTCAAAATGGTTTTTCAAAGGGCTTCATAGTTACTGCCAAAAATACAATTATGTGGGAATTATCTAAATCCTTGACTTTTGAAAATATTCTGTATCTTCTAGCAGAATTGAAACATACAGAATAACAGCACAAAACACCCTTACGGAAGCTTCAATGCATATTAGCTTTACAAAAAAAATATTTAAATATATATTTAAAAAAAATGTATACACACACATACACACGTATATATATATATATATATATATATATATATAAAACACACACATACATATATATATATATATATACAGATTGATATATTTGAATTTGCAGTGTTTTGGTAGAACTATTTATTTACTAACCAGAACGTTCTGGATTTCATCCTTGCGACACTTGATGTGGTACATCACCATGTCCTGGAAGATGTCCTTCCTGTTCTCCAGTTTGTTCATCTTGTCGTACGTGTCGGGGTTCAGCATTGACCAGCCCAGGAACTGGGTAAGAGACTGAACACAGGGGTGTGTGTGAGTTAATAGCCTATTACTGGTGGAAGGTGTGTTAAAAAAATAAATAATTAAAATAAAAATGTAGGTGACACTCTTTCTTTCTGTTCAGCCATTACTGCTCGAGCTAACTGCCTTCTTTAGTCCAAAACCAAGTGAAAACACATGCATTACACTTCCTGCTAGTGGTGGAAAAAGTTCAGATCCTTCATTTTAGTAAAAGAAGCAACAGCACAATGCAGAAATGTCCTGCTTTTAAATCTTTGATAAAAATGTATTAAAGTATTATCAGAAGAACATACTTGAAGTAAAAGGACGTATTTTTATTGACTTAGCATTTTAATGATGCAACATCAAGATGATTCAAGCACATCCTGCTGGACTTTAAAAGTCCATCGTGTTTTGGATGTTGATCATATGTTTTGTATGCAGAATCTTAATCTGGAGTATGAATTTAGTTCCTCAAAATTGTACTTAACTAAAACTTGAGTTCAACAATTTGTTAAAACATCCAATCTGAAAGCAGAAGTGGATTCTGTTCAAATCATTTTTGTGGTATAGCAATTATTGAATAACTCATATTGTTGTGTTATGTTCCTAAAACTACTCTGATTTTAAGGAAGAGTCGAAAACTGTCACGTTGTGTATTTGAACTACTGTGAGGCAGATGCAGAGAAACTTCAGTAAAAAGCCTCCAGGCCCAATGGTAAATAATGCAGACGCTCTGAATGGCCCGAGTGTATTTATAAACCAGTGACTCAGTGCTGCCACACACACGGACACACATACACACACAGCCTGTACCTCCATCAGTGTTTCGTCCATTTCATCGAAGGGTTTCCCATCCTTCCTGTTATAGAACGTGGCCACACCCACTATCTCTTCTTTCTTGTTGACGATTGGCATAGACAGGACGTTCTTAATGGTCCAGCCGGAGTCGTCCAGAGGCTCTTTCTGCACACGTACGCGCGCACGCACACACACACACACACACACACACACACACACACACACACACACACACACACACACACACACACACACACACACACACAGTTCAACATGCTTTATCTCAATCCCTATAAATCAGAATATTCTTCATCTGCACTGTTGCCCTGAATATGACAGTAATATGGACCTCTCTTTCCTCGTATTTCGATTTTCCACTGACGATTCTTTCATCATGATAGCAGAAAGCAGAAACCCTACGGAACGGTAATATGACCTTCTACATTCAGGGAAAATGTGAAAGAGAATCAATAATTCACCTGCTCACTGCCCCTAAAAAACATCCTGCAGCTGCAGTTGTTGTACCCTCACTTTAAAATGGGCGCTTGGTGAACTATTGCTGCATTTTAGCTTCATCACAGAGAAGTGTTTGGTTTTTTTAAGTAAAAACATAGCATAGCTAAAATACTGAATGAAAACTATCGTGTAGTCAAGATATTATTAAAAAATATATATATATATTTAAATTACAAATCAAACGAATTACATCAAGGGCTTTACAAAGTAATATCAAGCAACACATCCAGCAGCGGAAAAGAAGGAAAAAGAGCAGAGGTTCTAAAAATAGCAGAGAGACAAAGACTGGAGGCTTCTTTGAGAGGAACAGTTCAGTGTTCATTCAGAAAAAACACAGAGATAAAATGCACACAGTGTGTCTCACATCTATTCTACATACTAACTCTGAGCAGGTTTCGAGCTTATAGTATAGTCACACTGGAAATGGGACACAATTTGATGCACAAAAGTGGAGGAGCTGTTCACAGCTGGAGACAGCTGAAATATCCTCATACTCATCATCAAATATTCAAAATGTACAGTTTGTTGGCCATATTATATCATTTCATGTTAGTCAGAAAATGGTATATTTCTTGTATACTTAGTGCTCAGACAGTATAGAATAGTGTGTATAATTAGCATGTAGTACATACATACTGCATAGAATTAGTATGTAGTATGGATTTGAGACATGCCAACAGATTGATTTCTTACAGCCAGAGAAGCAGATAGACCAGAAAGCAAAACAGCAACATACAGGCCTACTGGGTTAACACAAGCCGTACCCTTCCTTAGCATGCTCATGAGACAAGTTACAACACATCATCACAAAATAACTCCCGTATCCCGATGAACCTCACACTGAGATCAAAGTGTGGAAGAGAAGAGGTGGGTTTTCATGTTAACATTCAGACACTTATTGCAGAGCAGAACCAGGATCGATGTATGAGCTGAGACAATTGCTTCCACTGTATCAGGAACAGAGTATAATAAGGATAAATACAATGAACCCTTTATGGCCCTCAGGAAACTCATTTCAACAATGGAGAGCAGAGAATGAGGAACAGTCAGGACTGTATGGCAGAATTGTTCCTTTTAATTGTTCCTGGTGGTCTCTTATGGTACATGAGAGCTCATTATAAAGCTAAGTTAGTTTTTTTTTAAATACATTATTTCAACATATTCGGTTCTAGTTTTATTCACATTTCTCAAGAGTAAAGGCTCACACATAATGCAATTACTGTAATCTGACTGAAAAATGCTAATGTCATCTACTACTTTAAAAGAAATCTGAATACACATAATAAGCAAAATTGCTCTCTTATCTCACAGCAACAACTGGTGTTAATGTGCAAGAAGGTGAAGCGGGGCGGTACTGAATGTATTCTTTCCCAGATAAATACATGTAGAAGAAGAAATAATATAGATCGAAATAGGTGGTTGTGGTAATCATATTTGTTTGTCGCTTCGGACAAAAGCACTTTCTGAGTAAATTCATGTCAATGCATATTGCAGTTTAAAATGACTTATTAGATTACTTTATTATAAACTTGTTTTTAAAAGTAAGTTTTGTTTTACCTTTCCTGGCAGAAAGAAATGTTTCAGCTACTGTACCTTGAGCTCACTTATCAATTATGGCTTCTCTCAAATTAAGAGAGGCGAAAGCGTGGTATTGATTCTAATACTCCCCACTTACAATGAAAAACATTCAACAAACAGGAATCATTCAGAAAGAAATTAAGCTGATGGACTGGATGAAATACTGATGTTTGGTGTTTTACCAAGACGTTCAAACTGTTGCTTTATTGATTTTGTTTTTATCTTCCTAGTCTCTTAAACTGAGTGGTTGGTTGTTGTTTTTTGATGTTTCCCCTTACCGGTAATTAAAAAACACACAAAACAAGAAAGTCGTAGCCGTCCTACCTGGAAGTTGAAAAAATCATCCTCAGCTGTATTCATTATGTTGCAAATCTGTTGAAAAAGGAGAATCAAAAGACAAAGTTGAGGATGATGAATATTATAGAAAAACACTAATGTTTAGACGACGAATATGAAACTGAAATGATTTCACAATGTAATGTATGTGCGTTACTAAAAGAACAGGTCATCAGGTTTGGATGGAATATGAGAATTGGCTAAAAGAAGAGGAAATCTTTGTTCTCATGTTATCATGTGATAAACTTCACTGTCACTTGAAGGACCACATGTTCATATGTCACTTTCAGGAGTTGAAATTCTTTATTGCTCCACAGCGAATCCATTCAAAACCCCTTGTGTCACATCCAGAACCATTAGTGCCAATCTGACGTGTCCTTTCCCCTCAATTTATGGAAAGGTGGCTCTGTGGAGAAATGAAGTTTTCACCTCTTACATGATGTAGAAGAGGAAAAAAAGAAGACGAGGGAGGAAAGATGATGCAGAGCTGAAAAATTGTAGGTGCCAAAGACGATGAAAGGACGAGACAGGAGGAGGACAGACGGGATGATGCAGAAGGAGGGATAGATGGATGAGCGACGGCAGGCTCAGCGGTTTGGGAAAAGCACACTGTGATTAATTACAACGGCTGCAGAAATTACAATTATACATCATAGCAGCGTGTGGCTGAGCACTTTTCTTTTCCACAACTGTGTGCACACTGACAACTGTGTAATAAGGCCTAATGGCGTTCTGCTCATCTGACCACCCACAGCTTCCACTGAACATATTTGGTAATAAAGATATTTTAAAAGGACACTGGTTTTACATGGACTCTTGCACAGCAGAAAAGGAAGTTGTTCTCTAAAAGTCAGAGTGAGAAATGAGGTGGAATTTAGTTCCAAGTTAAAAGTTTTGGTCGAATCGAGCCACACTCTGTGATTTTGAAAACATATTCAATCAGTCAAATAATGCTGGATTTTAGAGACTTTTGCCTGTGAGCCATACTTGTGCTCACAATGGGTGATTAGCTGAAGATGAGCTGTCAAAGATATGAATAGAACTGAATGGATCAAACAATCTCACCATCCTTAATCTCACGCAATTTCCATTAATATACGCTGGACTAAATCGGACAAGATACACCAAATTAATATTTGAAGTTAAAGCTTTAAACCACATGAACTGATGTAAATCATCTGGATGCTGCTTTGCCAGTAATTAGTCCCTCCAGGATCTTGTGGAGGTTTTTATTACTTCATTTATAATTACACACCAGACTGACTATGTTTGTATTTCTAGCTGCAGTTGTTGGAAGTTGTTTTAAAGAGTGCACTGAGAATAATAACATGTCAAATATTGAATCGAGAGTAGAGATGATTTAAGTAGGAGTCTGAGTCAGTAGCCGCTAACTTGTGCAGTTAGCTAGTCAGAAAGGTCAACCCTTTATCAAGGCTTTAATATAAACGTAGTACTTTCCAACAGGGTCAGCTAGTTCCATAACCCAGATGCTTGGTTTAAGCCATTAGACCAGAGATGGGTTAGTTCTTGGAACTGTAAAAGATGGTTTGACAAAAAGGAGCCTGGTCAAAGCAATAACCTTGGAGAAAGTGCTGCCTGAGAGAATTTCTATAGAAACAACCTCATCCTCAATGTAGTTTCAAAGAAGTTGGAGTGTGGAGTTTAAGCTTTATGTGTATTTGACTTTGAGTCATTAAAGTGATTCTAAATTGGCACCTTTCCAAACTGCCTCTCTTTTGTAGAACAAAACGCACCAAGTTTTCCCAAATATTGGAAGGGAGAGATTGGATAAATATGGCTTACAGCTCGTCTACACAAGTGTACTTTTATGCTCCAAATCTATTTTCTTCCATTTTACACGTAATTACAGTCAGTGATTGTCTATTTGGCTCTGAGTACTGCCAAAACACAGTTGACCTACACACAGAGCCTGAATGCATCACATGCAGTCTCAACAGTGATAATTCCTAAAGGACTCACTAATAGATGTTCACAGTTGGACATTCATTTGTTGTAGCACAGTGTTTCTCAAAGCCTCGCATTTCAAGGACCTTAAGAGGTACTGTATACATCATTTATTACTATTACGAATACAACTTTTCTTTATGATCCTACCTAGAGCATCTCTGACCATACATTTCTTTTTTTGGATCGACTATCTCCAAACTAAAACGTTCGTTGAACTCCCTGCAGGTTGGATACGATCAAAGCAGAACATGATTCAAATCTGTAAATGACTTGTTTGATCAAATCTGCTGTAAATTGGCCAAAAGATTCTGTCTTGTATCACCTGCGTGATTGTCAAGACAGGTTGTTATTACTATACTCAGAGTTCCCACTCTTTTAAAAAAATCATTTTCCTGGACCTTTCTAGGACATTTTATTCTTGGCATTACAGGAAAGCACTTGCTCACTCTCTAAATTTCCAGGTTTTTCATGTTTTTAAGGATACGTGAGAACCCTGTACACTGAAGTGTATCACTGACAGAGTTTGTGTTCAACCTGCCCACTGGTCATTCATTCACTATTCATTTGTTGTTTCATTTCTACTTGTTTGGGCTCCAGCTGTTGTTGAAAGGTTATGTTCAAAACTCTCAGTCATCGTGTATCCATGTGACGTGTGAACTCATTGTAACTTAAGAATGTAAATGTGACTGCTAGATTCATACATTATCTGATTAGAGTTCTTGCCCTATTTGGTCTGATTTAGGGTTAGTTAGACATCCACAACAATGAGATAGAATGCTACAGCCTAAAGCTGCTCACTCTGTGGAGTTTTCTATTAAACAAACTAAAGTTAGGTTTTACTGTCATGGTTGCTCACCAAAACATACTGTATCACTGAGGTCCAACAAATGTGTCAACTTCCTCTTAAAACATTTTCAAACTTGATATTTTAAATCCAGCATTGTTTACATCCACATGTCTAACTGTAGGTCTTCTTCTTCCCTGCCTTTGCTGGCACACTGCAACATATCTTGGTGTGTTACTGCCACCTGTTGAGTGGAATAGTGTACACCTTTGGTAAGACTGTGTATCGCCGGTATCGATGGCTCCATGGCACTACTAGAGGTGTAAAACTTCACAGGGAAGTTTAAAGATGCCACATGGAATTGAATTTAATTTACATGAGCATCAACCTAACACAGCTTTCAATGCTACAATTCAAATCTCTCAGCAGTCTAAATATTTCTGAAAGTTTGTTTCTGTGCAATGCCGTGACATACCCAAAGCAATGTTGTCAGTGCCATGCAATGAAACAGAAATATTTATTTGCTGACGTTCATCATGTTGTTGTAGGAGCTAGTCTGACTTTCAAACAGCATAGTGGGAAATAAGGTTGTGGAGTTCAGGTTTGATACCCAACACAATTTTTTGCATTTTATTTTGCACTCCTCAAACATTAATTAATGTAATGTTATGGTGTGACAAACATGTAAAAATGCTGCGTGAATCTTGTGATGCTGCTAGATAATTCAGGCATAGTGCGAGAATGTTCTTGTGACACAAGCTGGATTTGAGAGTTTATGTTCATTTCACAACACTGTGTGAGCAAATCAAAAGGAAGAGAACAACAGACACTGACCAGTCCAGTCTCTGCTACGTAGGTTGGTAACCCGCTAACCAGGACCCAGTGATCTGGTGTGGGGTTCCTGAGGGTGCACAGAGCATTACAAGCAGAAATTCAATTGTTATAATAATCATCTTTAACAACAAACAAGAAAACAAAATAATGAAGTACATTACTTTCCTATTCAGTATTAACAGAAATGTGACTCTGCAGAGATGAACCAAATTATTGAACTTAAATAATGCATAAGTACTTTACACAGGTGAGATTATTCTGCAGTGAAATGTTTGGACAGTAGTTATTACTGTTTACAAGAGCAGCGACGTAAGATAACAGAAAAAACAACACAAGATCAGAATGTCTTCAAGAAACATGAATACGCCTGGCCTCAGTGGTTCCGTTTTTTAATCTTTTATTAGGTAAAATGTACATCATGTTTGGTTTTGTTAGGGAGGAAGAAGCAACATTAGTATCCTGTTGCTATCCCTCTGATAACCAACCAAACAAACACCTCAAAGGTGCCCTGTGGAGTATTATGTTTACACCTAGTGTTACTCAATAAAACTCATTGCGTGTGTGTGCATGTGGAATGCATTTCCTTTCTCATAAAACATTTGCAAAGCCAATTTTTCTTAGAACTTTGAAACCTGCATTGTTTACATCCATGGCTCACTGTCTTTCCTGTCTTTGTGGTGAAATGCTATGTTTATTGGCATGTTATGGCACCCTGTAGATCGTGCACGTGCACAAGAAGAAATTGCTTCACTGGACCTGTGTTGTGACTTACGGTATGACTTTGATGTCCTCTTTGCCATGTAGGATGTAGTCAATCAGTTTGTAGAAGATAATTTCCTTGAAAAGACACATAGCAGAAAAATTAGAAACATTGTCTGGAGAAAGAAATCTGAATTTTGGTCCTTTCAAATGCACACAGGGAACTGTACAGCATGCATAGATTATCATGTCACATTGCCCATGTTCTCTATCTAAAAGTAAACTGAGATACCTATTCATCTAGAATCATGACTATGGTCCTGGGAGCATACATTTAATCTCAGCAGGGATCAAGGAACACACACAACAAAACAGTATTCATCCTCTGTGACCAAAAAATACTCTTCTTGTGGATAAGTGACAGTCAGACATTTTGACCTGATGTTGACACCAGAGTGAATGAGCAGTAGTAGTAGCAGTGGTCCATATTTCCTCACCCTGCCATCAGGAGTTTTGGGTCCATCATACGGAGGAACTTCTCCCATCAGAACTGGCCACAGGTCAAAGAACTCCTATACACACAGACAGAGACAGAGAAAACAAGATTTAGAGTGATACAACATAGACGATACGGCTGCTTGTGTTGTTTCATTATTTAGATGCACTTACTGTACACAGCCAACACCACCATTCTGCCTGAAAATGCTAATGCCAGCAGCCTCTTAGGAGTGTGTAATATTTTTCGTTCTGTCTTCAAAAAGTGCACAGTTTCCAAAAAAACGTGTTCAAAGCTGAGCTACTAGTTTTGTTTGTTCTTAAGTATTTTTTTCATGAAATCCAGTGTTGTTACCAGACAGCCATCTGTGCAGGCAGACAACATGTGTTTGTTCTCAGATAGCAGGTGTTAGGAATCAACTGGCAGCTGCTTGTAATTAGATGACAGCCACAGCCAATAAGTAGTATTTATGACAGTATGTTGGTTATCACAAATACATGGGGATTGTACCGCACTGATCAAAAGATAGTTTTAAGTATTATTTCTTTCACTGGCACAAGGGATTAAAGCAGAAAACTAGATCGAGACAGAGAAATTGTGCAGATTAGAGAAAGAAAGCCCACAGGAGTTTCTGAAAATATCTCTTCCCAAAAGAGGAGAAACAGAAACAGGTCTTATCAAAACTCAGTTGAGATGAGAATGCTACAAAAACAGTGGTGCATAATTAATAAGCAATGGATGCACTCACTTAAAATGTAACTATACTGTAATATACAGTGGCTCCATTTTATTTTTGGATGTCAAGGTTCCAGGATTTTGTGAAACCAAGCCCTGTTGCGGCAGTCAGCCCTTTTAAAACAATAATAAAGGCCTAATAAAGATTCTTGCTCCTAGTTTGTCTACGGAGACTTTATTTAGATGACCTGTTCCCTTAACCTGCAAATGGCAACAAATTCTGATATTTAAGTGTAAATATGCAACCGATCTGAAACAGTGTAGCACAGATAGTGATCTACAAACACTGGATTCATTGTTTCTGTTTGTTTCCCAGCTTATCCTTGACTGTGGGTGTGTGTATCTATGGTAACCCACCTTGGTCTTGGTCATGTCCAGCAGACCCACAGAGTAACGGTCACAGTTGAGGAAAGCTCTGACTGTGTACAAGGCCTTGTGGAACTGCCTCTCTATGTCTGTCAGCTCTTCAAACACCTTGCTGGCTGACCACAGCAGCACCTGCACAGTAGAATACAACAACAACAACAAAACCACAGCTTCACACCACAAGATTTAACTTCTCCTCCAATACAACACTGTTTCTCTTACTTGCCTCCAACTTATCTTTTCAGTTTGTACTTTAGTTAGGCCAAATTGAGGCATCTTGTCAAATGCATCTGCTGGTTGAATGACTCTCTCTCCATCATTATCTTTGTCTTATTTTGTACTATACATTTATGTCATCAAGAGTGAAAATGTGGATCTATGCACCTGTTCACACAGGCACAGAAAAAAGGTCAGGTGTGGGACACTTTCAGCTAGAGTGTTAAAATTCAAATGAAATCTAAAAAAAGGAACAAGGTGCCAAAGGAAAGAGTATAATAAAGTGCTGCATGCTCTGCAGCCTCACCTGTCCCCTCCTGGTCTCACAGTTGTGCAGGTAGCTCAGGTGGAACACTCTCAGGAGCAGGTTGGCGAAGAAGAGATACTTGCTTAGGGTCTGGAAGAAAACAGCACACACTTTAAGCTGCGTTGTGTGATACTGAGAAATGGATGTGATTGTGGTGTCTTAGTAAAGGCTCAGCAATAACCATTACAATGTTTTGTTTTATATGTTAGTCACCTTTACCTTGGTGCCATCACTCAGAGCAGGTGACACATTTCAAATGGCAAGTGTCTCATTTTTAAATCAAAAATGTCCGATAGTTACATGGTTCAACCTGCCATGTTTGACAAGTGATATTAAACCAAAAGGTAACACTGTCTCCTCTTTCTTGACAAATGAATGATTTCTGTGTGGTATTTGGAGTGTATGCCACAGAGGGCTTTCTGGTGATATAACACACCTTCAGGCAGATACAGTGCAGGTTCACAACTGTTGCCTAGCAGTGGCTGAGAATAGCCAGTGGTAATGTAATGTCCAACTTCCACATTTCTTTGACATCTGACTGACTTTGTGATAACACTTATTATCACATTTGTACTTTTTTTGGCAGTAAAGAATTGGCAGTGATTTTTCAGTTTTCCTTTCTCTGTGACTCTTTCATCGCAGTGGCCAACCCTAATTTGCACCCACTGGATATCTCTCCAAATGTCCTCTGACAGGCCTCTCCTCGGCTTTCAGAAAGTTAAAGGATCACAATTGTTGTTAGTTGTGATTTGGGAGGCTTTCCATTTGTCTAGCTGCGTTTAGGTGACTTGTACAACAGCTGCTAAAGCAGGCCAGAGCAGCAGGAAGGCTGAGGGACAACCCCACTTAGAGAGTTACCCCCATCACTTGTTGTTTCAGTCAGACATAAAACATTGGGCATCATGCATTAATGTTTTCTCTTAGATTTGTACTTGCACAAAGCAGTAAGAGGACATGTGGGATTTATGAAATGCGCACTGACAGCCAAGTCTGTTCTTAACCACCTGAGTATGATGATGAATTGTGTTTGATCTTCAATTGGGCGTGTGTGCATGTGGAAACGCCCCAGTAAAACCATGTAAGAGCAGCCTTAAGTGCTGTTTGCAAACACACCACTGACATCTGGCAGTTTTTCCTTGCCGCCTTTGCCAAGTGCTTGCTCATGGTGGTACTGTTGGGTCTCTGTAAATAATGTTATAAGGAGTTCGGTCCTGCTCTATTTGAAAAGTGTCCTGACATAACTTCTGTTATGAATTGGTGCTATACAAATAAAATTTAATTGAATTGAATCTGACAGGTAATGTTCATGTTTCCATATAGTAAGTGCTTTTTCCATCATCATTATTAATTCTTCACAGCACAAAACACAATTTGGAATTTGTGCGTATTGGCTTACATGTAGTCTATTGGTCATTATTTTGATCTTACCTGAGAATAAACAGGAAAGTATGCAAGTATTGATGAATGTCACAAAAGTTCTTAAATTGTTCTCATACACAATTTAATATCCAATCTGTGTGAAGGAACCATACATGCTTGAGGCCCATTGACTTTCTGTTGTTTGGGTGTTAAAGTTGAATTGTAATCAAATTTAATATAGTAGTGAAAAGTTAGGAAGTCAGGAGTTTTCAGTGCACAGAAGGAGGAGATTGATTGGGGTGCAAATGTTTTGGCTTATGATTATGCACAGTGAGGAGTGGAACCAAAGATCCTGTCTGAATGGATCACTTGGTGTAAGATAAATTGATCAATAAAGATTGCACCCATTTCTGACAATCATTGAATTTGGCCAAAGTACATGGCATTTGATCTATATATAGGCGGCCCTACAGGAACATGGTCAATTTAAATGACCATGTGTCAGTGGTCAGGAGTCTGACTTAAAATTTTCACTAATATTCCCAGAAAGAACTAAGATATTCTCTAAAAATCCTGGGTGCCAACAGCCAATCAGCAAGAATGTCTATATCACTTTGTGTATTTTTACTTACATCTGGATCCAAATGCAGATTATACATTTGTATATGGATTTGGGAGGATATTGCAATCAACCAGCGATTTGTAGCCTACTGTTCATCATCAACATGCCATCACATTTCAGTTTTATAAAGCCATAAGACATGTTATCAGTTAACTTGACAACAGAGTGCTGGGATGCAGGCACCCAAAATATTAATAAATAAATCAATATAATTTTGAGGCACTTTGTAACTGGTTTTGTAAAGTTCTGTATAAAGCTGAAAACTTATTTAATTTTAAGTGGTTGAATCACAAAAACTGTGACAGTGTGCTGAGGGTGTATTTCCAGGACAGACGGCATTAGATGTTACCTCTTCATCCTGCACAGTGAAGCGTGGCCCGTCCAACTTGTTGACAGCCATCATGACGGCCACCATATCTTTACCGTTCATGATGGGGACGGCAAGAACGTTCTTGGTTCGATACTCGGTCAGCTCGTCCACAAAGTCACTGTAATGAGGGCTCTATGAAGAGAAAAGAGCCAGGGTGTGAATTTGATTGTATTTAATCTCCTGCTCTTTGTCCCTGCACGCCTCAAAACTTCCAGACTCAGCTTTGATGAAGACACCACTTCTATCTATACATGCTGCTAGCAAAGGCTCTCCATTATCCACAAACTCAAGGCCCTCTCTGCTGCACTCCACCTACTGCTCTCCTGTGCAGCAGGGGTCATCAATTGTGTTCCTTAAAGGGGCGAAACAGAGGAAGAGCAGCTCATTAACTGCCAAGAAGGAACAAAATCCTGCAGAGAGCGACCCTCGAGAGACCAAAACTGGAGTCCTGATTTGGGCGAGGCAAGGTGTGAGTTTTCGTTTGTGAAAGAAAAAACACACAAGTTTGGTGCTGGCAAGGAAACAATCAGTCAGCACAAAGAGATGTATACAATCTATACAACAATGTATACTATTACCCATGTAAATAAGGCAGTTACTGATATTCATATATGAAAATCTTCTGATTGGCCGATATGAAAGGTCCACTGTGTAACATTGAGGAGGATCTATTGGCAGAAATGGAATATATTATTCATAGCTATGTTTTCATTAGTGTATGATCACCTGAATATAAGAATCGTTGAGTTTTAGTCATCTTAGAATTAGCCTTTTTTATCTACAGTGGAGTCACCATGTTGAACTGCAATGTTCCTACAGTAGCCCAGAACGGACAAACCAAGGCTATAGAGAGGACTTTTTGCATTTTTTGCTGCCACCATAGCTTCTCTTACACACTTAGTTGAGTCCAGAAGCTTCAATTAGTTGCAATCTTCAACTTCAGCGCTCGATGCCACTAAATCCTACACACTGGTCCTTTAATTTTCTTTACACAACCCATAACGTAAATAAACCTTTTTGATAAGTTTCCCTTTAAATTTGTGACAAAGAAATGTACTCAGTGGGACACTCTTTTAAAACATATATTTCGTGTTGCTGTACTTTAATCTCATGTCACGTATTGGCTGACATATACGACGATGCCGATATAATAAATGCAATAAGCTATCAGCCAGGTCAATCGGGCTCTACAAATTACTACTGCTCTACTGCTTTATCTGCCCCTTTATAAAGCTCACACTCACGTACAGGAGGAAACTCCTCAAAGTCAAACATTTGCATCATTAAAGTTTCATCCTTCAGAAACCTTAAAACTGTAGCTGTCACATGCAAAGAAACCTGAGCAGCAACTCAAACACTGTCCTCCGACCCAGCTCAGACACTGCACATAGCCTGGGTCTGCAAAGAAATACCTGTCAAGGTTTGAATGCCTTTCATGCAGTAGAGTATTAAGATCACCATGTTCCTCTGACGTACAGACCTGTGTTATTCCTGGTTTTTATTTTTTAATTTGTACGTTTGAGCACCAGTAATGAGATTTGAATGGTCCTCATCTTGCGCCACAAATGAATTAGTAAATCACCCTTTTAGTTTATTAATGTCTAAAGTTGTCTGTTTCTCTCTACATAGGGGCCGGCCTGAACTGTGGCAGTAGTGCAGGAAGTGAAGGGGAAAATCACTAAGACAAAGCTGATCTTGGATCAGCACCCACACAGTAGCTGATTCAACAGTAGCCTTTATGCAGCTTAAAAATGAACCTGTTCCAAAGGTCTGGGCATTTTGACAGCTTGTTATGGGGTGACCTTTGACCCCCTAAAGCCCAGAGAAGTCTTCATCCTGCTTGTTATCAGCTGAAGCTTTGCCTTGACCTTTGCCCAACAGCTCTACTCTTGACAAGCATAATCGAAGTTGTATTTTAATATAAAAAAAACAACACAAAATATATTTTTTTATGTACTACTCATGTATAAGCAGCTTTTATTATTTATTAACTCTTGTAAATAAATAAAATGACCATGTAGGTAGGAAACTCACATCATCGAGTCCTAAATAAGGCTTTAGAAATTAATTTATTTTATATCTACACATGAATTTGTGAAATAAATATGGCAAATGAGACGAAAAAACTTGAAATTTGTCAATAAATAATAGATGTAAATAAATAAAGAAACGTAGCAAGATAAATATACATATGTAATAAATACATTTTTATACACAATTCTTTAATATAAAGTCTGCACACATGAGTCAATACATGAACCTCCCTGGCCAATTCAGACCCATTAAGTGGATTCCAGGATGTTTCTGCTCTACCAAAGAAGGAAAAAAATAAATAAGCGAAACAATACAGTGCGACAGAATAGATTAAAGGTGTGTTGTAGTGCTGAGCCTGTGAAAATGGCTCTGGGCCTGTGTGACCTCTGGGAGTAATCTGGGATCGCTCTAATTCAGGACAGATTAACCGGCTTCATCTGCAACCTCCCCCACCGACACTCTCTACCCTCCTCACACGCACACCCCCTTTGAGTAACCACACCTCAAATAAACTCAGTCTGAAGGAAGCGGGATAGATGAAGGGGGAGAAATGAGGCCAGCTGTTGTCCACTACCTAATCCCAGTGAAACATAATCCCCACCTTCCACCTACAAGAATCCTGACTGGTTGACTGGCCTGTACTGGGTTGGACTGGGATGGAAATAGAGCGCAGGGAGACAGTCATTCCCAGCCTCTGCATTACTCTGAGAGGCCGTTCACAGAGCATTAGCATCATAAAGCCAACCAATTATAGGCTATTGGAAACATTAGCTGTTCCTTCACTTCAACTGGGGAGCCTTTGAGGCTTTGATATCGCAGTTGCCACATTCCCCATCGCGTGCCCCTGTGTTTGTGTGAGGCTGCGGCGTGACGGGCAGCACGATGATGTTGTGGCGGCCAGCCTGGCAGCAGAACTGATAGATAAAAAACAAACGGGAACATCAACCCGGGTCCTTTTTGTTCGTACATCAGCAGCTGAGGTTTCTAATCTCCCATGAAAGGAAGTGATTGGACTGATACAGAGGAGGGCTTGTAATCCATCAGTTATGGGGAGTGGGCTGCTGCCTTATTAACCATAAATGTCACAATAGGAGTTTGTGTCATAAGTGTGGACCTATAGTTGCATGACAAACCTGAAATGTACATGGGAATAAGCTTGCCAGCCATTTTCAAATGTCAAAGGTATTGGCTGTAATGAGATTGAGCTGGCTTTATTTGAAGGGAATTAGTGGAAGGGACACTGTGGTGTGAGGTTGCCATCTGGTGGTCAGACAGAGACAAAGCAACAAACAGGGTTTCTCTGTGGCAAAAGAGGGATTTGAACATTTACTGAGCAATAAGAAATATTTAAATTTCAATGCTTTTTAACAGAGAAGAACATTAGTTTTAATTTCTGGCCATGGATCTGTGCTATTTGCTGACACAGCTGATAGACAGATAGGTAGAACATTGCAACAACACATGCTTTAATTCTTGGTGGGGCCAACCACATTAATATATACACTCATTTAAGCTGCCCTAGATAAATGTAAACTTTAAAAAGACATCTGAAGATATAACAATGTAGTAGCTACAAAGTACTTTAGTAAAACCAACTGAAAGTAAATCAAATCCAAAATATAAGAGATAACACACGAGATAAAACAATTCTAATAATTACAACCAATTCCATCAGTTAAGGAAAAGCCATAAGATTAAAGCCAGTCTTAAACAAAGGAGAATACTGAATTTACAGTGTAACTGTCTGACATAACCAGGGGGCACATGTGTATGTTCCCATGGTCCTGTGTTCTCACGGTTCTAAGTTCCTTAACCGGCTGCGCCGACCCTGACCCTAGAACTGGGAAACATAGGCCCCTAGGAGTTCCACTATAAATGTATGTGAGGGAAGATTTTGTATATGATTCAGTGAGCTAGTAATGTGGTTCCAATGCCCACACCAGTACCACATTACTAGTAAACATTAAACACACAAAAAAACAATATTCACGGTATCTACCTCAGCCGCATCAGGAATGTTGACCATCTTCTTGCTGGACGCCACGTGGCCCACAATGCCGATATCTAACGGGTACACGATCTCACTGTCAGGTGGCACCAGGCAGTCATCCAACACTGCATCCTTATGGACATTGAATAACCTGGAGGTAAAGATTAGAAAGAACATTAGATCGTGCCATGCAATTAAAGCAGATCTTCTTAAAAGATTTTTTTTTTTAACCTTTTTAAATCAAACTGGTCTTTTCGCAGAGTTGCCATTCAGACAAAACAATGTGTAAATGTCCCTTGATACTCATCAAGGTGCCTTTGAGCATAACAACAGCATTCTAACTCACTTATGGAGTTGCCTGGTTGTAGCATTAACATAAAGATACCTCGCTTACATTTGAACATATTTAATTAAGCTGCCAAATGTGAGTGAGTGGAACTGAATGAATGTGAAGCAGGGTGCTGGTGAAAAACAGCCAATCTGTAACCAATACATGATCCCTGTTTCAGTGATCACATTCCTCGTTGTGAGACGTGTTGTTAAGAAGAGAAAAGGCTACTTTTTAAACATTGAAAGAAATCTCCAGTGACCTGGTTGCGAGCTCAGCCACTCCATTCCTCTGCCGGTACATGAAGAGGCTCATGCGGTCGGCCCTCAACATGAAGCTGAGGTGTTTCATGAGGTTGAAGACAGATTTCTCCATCTGCAGGTTGTCCTGGATGTCCCGCACCAGGTCGAAGAGGACCTCGCTCTCCTCCACCGTCGTCAGCTCGTGGAACTTGCTGACGTCCAACCCTGTCTTCCGGTTGCTGTCCAGCAGGTCTGAGATGACCTTGGGCCGGAAGTTTATGTCATAGTACTGCTTGGCGAACTGCGGGTTGGCATCCAGGAACTGCTCTGCTGCCGCTGCGTCCACCATGGCTGCTGCTGACAGGGCACAGTCAGAGGAATACAAGATGGTATTACTGCTTGGGGCTGGATGGTTAGCAAAACACTTTCTTTCATTCAGCTACTTACTAATGAACTGCACAAAACTAATCCAATAGCAAAAAGCTTCCACTCAAAGCTAAATTAAATGGTGGCTGAGAAAATCCACAACAAGAAAAATGGATGCAAGTCCGGTATTCACTCTTCTTTTAGCCCTGGTTTGGTCTCAAACAACTCCTGCAAAAACTGTTTGACTCTGTCACCGCTAAAGGTTCCACTTCCTTCAGCAGCTGGTTGCTGACTTTGTCTTCTGTCATTTGGTGCTGGGTAGGTAATGTACAGTAGCTTTATTGTTTGCTCAAAACAGCTGCCTGATGCAGCTGGACACAGGGTGGATGAGTGCTGAGACTGAACCTTACACCAAATGTGCTGTACAACCAAAAACAATGAGCTGAAAGATGCCAAAAGCTCAATCCAGTCAGTACTACAGATCACTCTCTGTGGGTTTGTCACAACCCATAACAGAAGGGCACATTAGTATATTTATGTATATACAGCAGTCTTACATGCAGTATTCTAGATGATAACCTCTTAATATCTGTCTCCTGTCACTCTGTCAATATAAACAAATTGAGAAGGCAACAAACGTACTACAAGGTGGTTATGAAACAGTCTCGCTTTAATACGGATGTCTCCATATGACCTACATGAACAAACAGGACCATCAGTGAGAACGCTGTTTCTACATAGTTATTCTCCGCGCTGCAATGCCTGCCACTGGGTCGTCTTTGATCAGATTCCCTTTGAAATCACACGAAACAGGGCGGTGATCACAACCGCTTTTGTCCACAGGGGCTGAATCAACCAGTGTATGTCCACTGAGAATGGACTTTACAGTGAAGCAGGAGACATCCTGTGTCCAACAGGAATACATTCAGGACATTTAACGAGGTAGAAGGAGTAGATGATAAATGCATTTAAATGATTTTAATGTGGAAATAATACTTTTTTTATGGGAAAATCTGACATTCACAATTGTTCCAAGCTGACTATTTGTATACATGTCATAAGATGATCTTAATGTGTTAATGTTAAGGTCAGATTATTTAACATGGGTGTTATCACACCAGGACAAGGTTTAGTTGTCTCCTCTGGCACTTCAAGTGTTCATGTATAAATTCATCAATAACGTTATAATAATAATGTACAACTGACATCAAAGATCCAAATGATTTTTGTATTTAAAATGTAAACAGTCCTACCTGTTGAAGTCCTTGTGTTGTCTCCAGCAAAGTGTATAATCCCTCTGTCCTGCTAACCAAGTCCACAGGTGTCTGAGAAAAGAAAAAGGATTACCAGGATGGTTTTAAATGTGTGGACATAAGCCTGCATCCAATTACAACACTGGGATAACACCACCTTCCAATGATTAATGACACAACCTGGGATTCCTTTCTCTGTCTCACCCATAGCACTTGTGGGCTGTTGTGCAGTGTCCTGAGTATTCATGGCATCTAGACTACTGCACTGAAATACTGTTCATTAGCCATATATGTTTTTTTTTTTTGTCTCAACCAAAAAAGCTTATTAGTAATACCACATAAAGACATCTTAACATGGGCCTAGTTATAGTTATACACTTTAAAAGAAGAAGCTATACACATATTTAGTTAAACCTCAATGAGCAGATCCAACCTCATTCAGACAGTTTGCAAACCAGAAAGCAAAAGCAGAAAGGGTGAGAAAAAAAAGGGGGTTAAAAGAATCCATAAAAAGAATTTACATGCAATTTACTTCAGTTTTTGTAATCCATGATTATGGACAACAGGCTTTCATGTGAGATGACTGGCTTAAATTCCAGTTGTGGCAGGTATTTAAGATGATTAAAGGAGAATGTAGCTTTTATGAGCTGGAGGATTATAAACTACATTTTAAAAATGTGATTTGTTGGTTCTACCCATTGAAGTTTTCAGACAATGAGACAAAAGTATGTCTGTTCATATCAGGAGGCATTTAACTGACGCTTCACCCAGAGTGTAATTTTAGGATACAATTAGGGTGGCAAAATTAATATTACTGAAATTGCAATATGGCCAGGTGCAATATGCAAATCACAGAAGCTGCATTTTATTGAGAAAGGTCAAATTTGCATCAAAAGCGGATTATAATGAAGTACTGAAGTGCTGCAGAGATACCCTGGCTGATAAATCTTGTTCTTCACATTTAAGAAAACATCTTTGTCTGGGACAGACCCCAAAAACATTCACATCGTCATGATTTTAATATTTTACATGTGAAAATGCAAAAATGACTGTTTCCACACTAATCCTGAATCATATTGCTATATCTGTCAAAATAATGGCAATCTGATGTTTTTACCATATCATGCAGCCCTAAATAAAATAGGTCTACTTAGTCCCTGCTGGCTTCAAAGGTGGCTGTTAAAAGAAGGTTGATTCCTCTCCTCTTGAATATGTGTCAGTTACATAGGATCAAAGCACTCCACCAAAGCACAATCTAGTTCCTTTGCTTTCCACCCCTAAGCATATGAAAGCAGCTATTATGAATCAGTGTATATATATGTATACATATACACACACACACACACACACACCATATTAATATACTATATAAACCATACAAAAGTTTTGAACATATGGAGAACATGAGCATGGATTATAGTGGTTGGAGAAGTTTAAATGGGCATTTTGATACTTTTGTTGTTAATTAAGTTCCTTAACAGTCTAATTTTTTATAACTATCTAATAGTACATTGGTATATACTTTTTTATATAAACTGCCAGTATTAGTGGTTTAGGGTTAACAAATAAACGGTCTAAAAAACATGAAAATGTCACAAACAAGTTCTTTTTTCCCTTTTACTCAACTATTTAGAACTGTTTGTTACTGTGTACATCTGCAATAAAGGCTCAATTGTTAGCAGTTAAATGAAACGTTAATGTTCTACTGTATCAACCTTATTCAATTGATAACTGAACGTTACCAAGATTGACCAAAACTCCCTCCCTTCTCTTCACTTCAGGTTACCTGTTGCACACACAATGGGACTCAGTATTGTTGGTATGTCATAGTAAAAAGATAGTATTACACTCATTTGTTTCTCCTACAGCTCATATTGTGTCATGCCCCAGGCACCCTCACACTCTCTCTAAGGAATCTGAGACAGAGAATAACAAACAGCAAGAACAGAAGTCATATCATTGGTGATAACAAAATAAACCTAGAGAACTGTACAGCTGATTCCCCTTCTATGGTGTCAATCAATGAGAGCCTGTTCAGAGAGCTACAAATCAAGAAGAGTGCTCACTGTTCCTGGATATCCTATCACCAGCATCAACATGAGTTACATGAGTGATTGGCTTTTTAGACTTGAGAAGACAGCTTCCTGTGAACTGAAACTTCACTATATTTTCACTGTTTTTCTGTTTTCCATGTTTTGTATTGGTTCAAAGGAGTTTAGGGTTTTCAGAGTTGTGACACTGGGCATACTGTTCAGGCAGTTACAGGAGAATGTTTATGAAGAGGCAATGTGTTTGTTACAGTACAAAGATTCATTTATTTCTTTAGTAAACCTTGTTATCTTACTGTAATAACCACACAAAGTAGCTTCTTTGCCATATGTTCTGCATTATTATTTTCCTTAATATACATAATATTTTATTTTCATTAACTGATGTCTTATTTTGCTACAAAGTGATTCATCTTCCGCCACAGACCATCTTTGTCTCAACAGATCAAGTGACGTAGATCTCACGTTCCTTTAAACGTCATCACGCACGGAGCTACAGAGCAGTGTAAAATGAATTTGAGGCGGAATGACACTCGAGTGTCTGAACACAACCGAAGATTAACTTCGTAACCTGCAACTAGTCCGAGCTCAGGTCAGTGACTTTACACATTAACAGCGACGTTGTTTGTCCTAGCGGGAGAGCAGCGTGTCACGTTAAGTTAACGTTACCGTAGTTGGCTAAAAGTTTGAACCGGTGTCCACGTTGACAACTTGTTTACAATGGTGTCCATTCACAGCTCTGCTAACGCAACGCTGCCAGCTCCTGGACTGATGGTAGGGTAACGTTAGGGGAGCTAGTTACACTGCCTGGGACAAAGTCAGTGGTCTTCAATGACAAGTAGATACTGTCATTTAGTAACGTTGACCTTTACACGTTACAATACACAAATGGACAGTTAACGTTACTCCGCTTTTATCCAACATTTCAACAGCCTGTAAATAGCCCAGTAATCTCATTAACCCAACATTACACAGGAGTTCTCCTGAAAGCAAACTCGTTACCGTTACTGTAATCCTCTCAGCGGTAGAAGAGTAGCAGTCATACATCCCCAGCGAGGATGCCAGTTAGTAGGGTTTGGAAAAGCAGAGTAAAAGACCTCTGTTGGGTTGAGAGGTTGTTATTCACTACGTTGTATAACCAACTCTTTGTCCTGCATTTGGTTACTTTTAGTTCAGTTCAGTTTTAACACGTGGTTTGGACTTTTTCCACATTCAAGTAGTTCAGTGTTCTTTTAACAGCAGGACAGTAGGTCTGTAATAAAACTGAACTTTTCAACCAAACTAAGCCCAGTTTGAACCGTTTAGATATTTGACCTGCTAAATGATTTGCTCATAAAAATGTGTATGATCAAGTAAAAGCATGATAAATGACTATAAATGATACCCATCCAGTCACTAAGTAGATCAAGCCTATTTATATAATGCCTTTAATTGATCAAGGCTGTAGAGAGGGAATGGCATATCACATGACATTAGCTGTTATTAGCATTTTCCTTAGATTGCTGATTACTTTGACCTTCGTTTTGTAGATATGTATATCTCAGTACTGGTGATTACCAGTAAGGGCCTTCCTTTCTGTCTAAGGGTCACTAAAAGCATAAGTTAAACTGTATGAATAAGGGGAAGTATCTTTATCTGTATTGTGATGTAACATCAATAGGAGGAAATATTTCTTGGCCTCAGCAAAATGTCAGAAATAAGCAGTCAGGCCCACACCCACTGACCTGAAATGTAATAGTGCTCCTACTGACCCCCCCCCCGCCTCCACGCTGCTGCTGAATGCTTGTTACTGTAGTGGGCTGCTCATTTTAAAATATGCATAACAGCATTCTTTTTTCCTGTTAGCAGTTCTTTAAAATAAAGTTGACTAAACTGAACTCTTTCTTCCTATCACCACAGATAAGGGCTTTATCATGACTCATGGCGACGACTGCTGTGCGACGGCAGAAGATGGAGCTGAGAGCGACCAGCAGCGGCCTCTCATTCTGGAGAGAGTGGAGAAAGACACAGCCAAAAACTGGAAAACACTTGTGTCACACCGGATAAAGAAACACTGCTTGTGCACCCCGAAGAAAGCTAAATCCAAAATACTGGGCTTTGTCCCGATTTTGAAATGGCTACCACAGTACCAGCTCAGGGAATGGCTGCTGGGTGACATCATGTCGGGACTGATTGTTGGAATCCTATTGGTCCCCCAGTCTATAGCCTACTCCTTATTGGCCAGTCAGGACCCCATTTATGGTCTCTATACATCTTTCTTCTCCTCCATCATCTACGCCCTCTTAGGCTCTTCTAAACACATCTCAGTGGGGATTTTTGGGGTGCTCTGCCTGCTTGTGGGTCAGGTTGTAGATAGGGAGTTAGCTCTGGCAGGATACCTCACAGAAAGCAGCATCAGTAGTAACGGCAGTGCCATCCTGCTGGCTGGCCAGGGGAATGACAGTGTTGGGGTGGAATGTGACAGAAGCTGCTATGCAATCACAGTGGGAGCTACCGTTACCTTCACTGCTGGAGTTTACCAGGTAAGTGAGCAGGGGCGATTTTATGCACTGTACCAACAACAAATACATCAGTCCTTCCCTATGACCTCAAGCAAACTAGATCTTGTAATCTGGGTATCCAAACTGCCTGATGCTTATCTCTTTCTCTCAGGTTCTAATGGGCATTTTCCAGGTAGGCTTCGTCTCTGTCTATCTCTCAGACTCCCTTCTCAGTGGCTTTGCTACAGGAGCTTCCTTGACCATCCTCACTTCCCAGTTCAAATACCTTCTGGGCCTGAAGATCCCCAGACCTCAGGGCTGGTTCACTCTGTTTAAGACCTGGTACAGCCTGCTCATCAACTTGGGAAACACCAACATTTGTGACCTGGTGACCAGTTTGGTTTGTTTGCTGATTCTGATACCGACCAAGGAGCTCAATGATCGCTTCAAAGCCAAACTAAAGGTAAACAAAGTGCAGTTTGAAAGTATAGATTTAAATATAAGTTTTACATGCTAACAGCTTTTGTTTCAAAATGTAAAAGTTGTTTAACACATTGCTGTTTTCTGCAATAGTAAACCTTAGTCCTCACGGAGCAAGAATCAAAGGTTCTTTATTGATTCATCCTAGGGTCACAACATACTAGAGATGTACCCAACTAAAAATTTTGTAAGTCAAATTGGATTTGGCTGAAGATTCATCTACTTATTCCTTTTTTTTTTTTTTTCAGTTCAGTGCCACAGAAAACTATAAAAAATATCAGCAGTTTCTGCGATGTTACATGATAATATCATGTGTGATGTGAAAACATCAGAATTCCACACAGTCAGAGAACTTAAAAGTGCATGTCCTGCTCATAGTTCAGTTATAAAATCTTAACGCACCACATAGCATCTCTCCCCCCGGGCTGCTGATAGCAATGTCAGCCAAAGAGTCAATCACAGTAGACGGCAGTAGAGGAGGTTGTACAGCCATCTGGTTCAAAAGGTTTAGCCAAATTCACATCACTAGAGCAAAGAGCATCAGAGCAGCCGACAAGTTGGAGTCACACTTCCCTCCATTAACTATCACTCTTATCTGCTTCGTTTTGTTATTTGTAAAGTTTACAGCCGTGCTATCGCTATGTGTACACTGACACAGCTATAAAAAAAAAAACATACGTTATAGATATAGAGTGGTTGAGTGAGTACAAGCCAACCTGGTGCATTTCGGAATCAGAATCAGAAATACTTTGATCCCTGATGCAACTTTGAAACCACTCATGTTTATGTTAAGATTAGACATGTCTGGGGTTAGGTCAGTGTCTCTTGCTGTTAAGGATAGGGTGAGAATTTGGGTGGGACTTCATATCCCTCAAAACATGTTCACAACTATACTTTGAGGTTAATTCTAATGATCAAAGCACAGTTGAGGCTAAACACAGCTCAACCAAAGCTTGGCAGGGGGTTAAACCGAGGATGACAAATATCAGTGAAGGCATATAGCTTACCCTTTTTAGTGCAGCTAAAACTGACAAAGCTGTGGGACGTTGAGCTAAACCTCACAAAGTTCAGCTTAGAAAGAGTCCAAGATGTCGTAAATAGGCCACCATACCAACTGGCTCTTAACTTTTAATTGATCCAAGATTTGTGTGTCAAGTCTGTTTTTTTTTTTTTCCTCCTTACCCAGGCTCCAATTCCCTTCGAGCTCTTTGTGGTTATAATCGCCACCCTGGCTTCTCACTTTGGCCACTTCAACACTGATTATGGGTCTGGTGTGGCTGGTGACATCCCCACAGGCTTCCTCCCTCCCCAGCTGCCCATGTGGACACTGATCCCAAATGTGGCTGTTGACGCTTTCTCCATTGCTATTGTGGGATTCGCCATCACGGTGTCACTGTCGGAGATGTTCGCCAAGAAGCACGGCTACACTGTGGATGCTAACCAGGAGATGTACGCCATTGGCTTCTGCAACATCCTACCATCATTCTTCCGCTGCTTCACCACCAGCGCTGCACTGACCAAGACTCTGGTCAAGGAGTCCACAGGGTGCCAGACTCAGGTGTCTGGACTGGTCAGCGCTCTTGTCCTGCTGCTGGTGTTGCTCGTTATTGCACCGCTCTTCTATTCCCTTCAAAAGTAAGCACACCAAAATAATTAGTAATCAATTTAAAAGGTCTTGCCTTATTTATTCCTCTTGTGAGTTCATCTAATTAGTAGGTGATTAGTAAATTTGGATTTCTGGAATGATGGCCTGCATGCTGTCATCAACAGAAGCTAGCGATCAATAGCTTCTTGACAGTGGTAGTATAATTAAAGCCATATCATAATAAGGCAAATAATATATAGTGCACAATCACAGGATGGGAGTGATGCAAGGGCTTTCGTTCTAGCATATCAGAGTGCTTAGAAACGAGCTTGCAGTTCTTATCTTGTTTACCACTAAAGTGGTTTCAAGGGCAGCCTTAGACAAATACTGATAACCTATGGTTGTAGTTCAGGGTTAATGCTGACACTGCTGGTCATCGCTCTGCGAAGATACAGATGTTTAAAAAGCCTGCAACTTCTATATAATATTACAGAGATGATTCTTGAATGAGGAATAAAGAGCAGAAATATGAGTTAATAAAATGAGTTAATTGCTAACTAGATAGGTAAAAAGCAAGTCACACATTTGGGGATCCTTTAGGTCTTTGGCCAGCCTTGATCACGCTCTATTGATCTGATTGCAGCTGATGATTGGTATTGATTTACTTCAATGCTGGTGTTATCTTCATCCACACCCATAGACACACTTGCTGCTACACGGAACATACGGAATGTCTTCATAAATAATATAACACATCTGTTGAGGCCAGATTAAGTTGTGTCTTTGTTCCTTATCTCTTTTACTATCATCCCTTCTCTCTTTATTTGTGAAGCTTTCTGGTCTCTTGAGTTGATATTATCTGTTCCATCCAACATCTCAACCTGCCCCTCCAGGAACTAAATCTAAGATGAAACCCTATTTAAATGGCTAAAGACTACATTGGCAACTTAAAAACTTTATAGCTGACTCAGATTCAAGTTCACGTGACTTTCCTGACCTTTGCCCTTTCCCTATTTTCTTGCTTCCTTTTCCTGTCCAGGTGTGTATTAGCCGTCATCATTGTGGTTAATCTCCGTGGAGCTTTGCGAAAGTTCATGGACATTCCTCGCATGTGGCGTGTCAACCATGTCGATGCCTCCATCTGGGTGATCACCATGGCAACCTCAGCGCTGGTCAACACAGAGCTGGGTCTCCTCGTGGGGGTTTTGGTGTCAGCCCTCTGTGTCCTGGGCCGGACCCAGAAAGCCCAGGTCCTGGAGCTTGGCCGGGCTACAACCAGGGAGCATTATGAGGATCTGTTGTCTTACCGCGGCCTTGGGACACATCCCGGAGTGGCAGTTTTTAGATATGAGGCTCCAATCTATTATGCCAACCAGAGCTTGTTCAAAAAATCGCTCTACAGGTGTGTAGGACTTGATCCTGTGAAGGAGAAAACGCGGATTATCAAGTTCAAGAAGAAGAACAAACAGCAGGAAGAGGTTACAGGAGGCCAAAATATGAAGTCCGAGCAGAAGGAGGCTGCAGGGAAAGAGGATGTGGTTGAAGCCGGTACGACTGTAACCTTGATGAAATCTTGGCGTAGCTTAAGCAGCTTGGTGATCGACTGCAGCGCCATCTTGTTTCTAGATACAGCTGGAGTTAATGCTCTGAAAGAGGTCCGCAAAGATTACGGAGAACTGGGGATCAAGGTTGTGCTGGCCCAGTGTAATGTCTCTGTATTGGACGATCTGGAAAGAGGGGGATACTACCCAGAGAAAAAAGAATGTGATGGAGGAGAAAACAAAAGTGTGTTTTTCACCATCGAAGACGCCGTCCACTACGTCCAAGGCCTCTCAACTCCTAATGGAGATTATGACAGCAAATGCTGAAAAGATCATTTATCTGTCCAAATATCAATGTTTACATCTCTCACATAAAAAGGAAAGTCCATTGTTTCCTATGTGCCTTGTAAGGCTACAGTGATTGCTGAAGTCCTTCCTGAGTGTAATTATCCTGCGTCTACCTTTCATAAGTGCAGCAGACAATTCTTTATTTATTATTGTTTGAGCATTTCTTCCTCATGCAAATGCAGCTTAAGTACATAGTACTTCTAGTAAGAGCTTCACAATGGCAACGTCAGTACGGGACATTTTCTCTTTTTTGCACACATGTGACACCCAAATGACTTTATGAACAGTCACCCACCAACATTAGGGATGGGACAATCTACTGTAGTATATTTATTGTGATAAAGAAAAAACAAGTCATAAATTTATCATGGTGAATTTCCATAATCAGTCATGAATCGGGATAATTGTGAATCGATTTCCTTATTTATTTTGAACAAGGGGAGAAGATGTGTGGAAATAGTATAAATTCCAAAACAGAACAGGGAGATCAGGGAGAACAGGGAGATCAGGTGTTAATCTGTGATGCAAAAAATTTGTTTCTTAACCAAATGTTAGGTAAAGTGAGTCCAGTATGTTTTAGTGCCATTTTAAAAGTCTGAAGTATATTTTCATGATTATTTTGATAATGTTATGTATCGCCATTATTTTGGCCATGATAATCATGACATGACATTTTTATTTTATCATCCCGTCTACATTATGTAGACTTTGTTAGTTAGTTAGTTCTAATTCCATTTGACAATCTGACGCTGAAACAGTTCCTCTATTTTCTTTATCAGATTAAAGAATTTTCATTTTATGACTTAGGGAAGCCAAAAAGCTGCCACACCTCTAAATTTTGAATTATTGTGAATTCTAGAACTGTAAACTGTGTTGGGGTAAATAAGTATCATGTGTAGGTTGGGATGTGTGCAACAAAGTGAAAAGGTTTATCATTGAGAAATTGTGCATTGAGGGGGACTTCAGAACTCATTTAAGCTTCAATTTAGTTTTAAATTAAATGTATACAGTTTTTCTTCAACAGCAATGAAAGATCAAAATCCTACATGCTGTCCTTCAAATATTTATTTTGTAAGACATCGCCAAACTGTGCCTGAACATGATTGCACTGTAACTAATAGTAGGCTAGTGATATACAAGGGAAAAGTTTCTTTTTCCTGTGGGAGAGACTGTGTTTACAGAGCCAGAGAGCAGTAAATGATCATTAAAACAATGAATGGGAGATGGTGAGAATGCTCGGCTCAAGCAGACAATCAATCTTCATGTATCCAAACTGCAGTGCCTTTAAAGAAGCAAATGTAAATACACTGTGAATGTTTTCGTAGCAGGTCCTTTGACATATGAATGCCAGTCACCTTCTACTGTTACAACTGGACAACTTTAGTATTACCTTCCTTCCAAAGAGCACCATTAGACAAGTGATCCACAATCCTGTTGTTACCATAACTTAACTTAACAAAGTTTTGTCAGTTATTTCAGTAGAACAAAAGTCACGTTTTTAAAGTGGAGGATCTCATTCTAGAACAAATGTCCTACTGAGGCCTGTACTGGATGTGTCACTTTGATGAAGTACTTTTTAAAGTTTGTCCTTAATCTCTGTTTGCTGAGGGCGACAACATCACTGACATAGCTTTAGCCTTTGTTACTAATAGCTTTGTAAATACACCAGCTGGGTGATTTGGGGGGGGGGCAAAGTTCGAGTCAATGAAAAACATTTTCTGCAGTGAATGCCATGTGAGATTTACATCAGAACCCCTGTGAGTTTTTTTTTTTTCTAATTTAATGTTCTATTGTCCCAGTCAAACTCATCAAAGTACAAGCCAGATTATTATTATTTAAATTACTAATGTAATGTTGTGTTCTTAGCTGAAGGTTCCTTGTGAAGTTTATTTTTTAGCTATATATATATATAGAATTATATTATCTTTTTTTTTTTTTTTTTTTTTTTTTTTGGTCTCTGATTTAATACGTGCACATGAATACAAAGCAATACATGTTCCTGCTAATGGTTTCACACTTCCACTGATCTACAGGTGGTCGCAATGTTCCCAAAAATGGAGCACTACATCAGCAAAAGGAAGAGAAAAAGACTGCTAGCCAGTAGATAATGCAGTTTAGAATTGTTCAAACAGCTTTGCAATTGATTTATGAGGAAGGAACTTCACTTTGAAACACTGAATGAAGCTTTTTTGTTTGTTTGCATGAAAACTCCACAGGGCACCTTTTTAAATAACGCCCCAAACATTACAGCACAAAGACGGGATGTTCTTATCTCTAACAGCATTTGCCTTTGCTGGAGGGTGCATGAGTTTTGGGAGGAGCAGTTAGTCAGGTAGGCAGTGTAGGCCTTTGGTCTTCTGGAGCTGAAGGACTTCTGAAGGGAAAATACTGTCACACAGGACTGAACACAGTCCTTACTGAAGCTTTTCATGACAGCTTATTTTAAAGATCTGTAATATTCAAATGTGGGCCCAGCTTTAGATGTTTTGTAACCAAACTGCATGAAACTACCTGGTAATATTATTTATATAGCACTTATTCAGTTGTTACAAAGTTCACATTAAGTTCTTTCATAACGTAGTGACGTCACACTACTGTATGAAATATAACAAAACTATTACAGCCTTTTGCATTACACAGTAGTAGTTTGTTTTTCAACCAGAAATTCTGCCTCTGAGGTTTTGGGGTTACAGTAGCTTTTATCTGCTTTTTATCCTGAAACTAAACTGCTTGTTCCAGTTTATTGCAGGTTCCGGTGTGTTTGCTCTCATCATTTCCTCTACATGTTTGTGAAGCTGTGGCTGTACAGTTGAAGTGTCACAGTATCTGGTTGGAGGATGTCAACGTTCAGTTATCCTCTATTTAAACTTTTTAAATATATCAATGTTTGTTGCTGTCCAAATATATTTGGTGCATTTGGAATATGCTCAACATATGTTTTTATGTGCTCAGGATCTTTGCCTGAATAGCACACAGTAAAATAATGTATTTTTATTCTTTGGATTAAGGACATCCAGCAGCTGTCTGTTTTGTTGAATTCATGTTTATTATCATTTATTACAGCTTATTATTAATTAGTATCAGAAGCCCCATTGCTAGCTCAAAGCACCAGCTCTATGCGTGTATGTAGCTGTATACATATGAATCAGTAACTGTCAACCCTTCTGACAAACTGTTGAACAGGAATGTTGTTCTGTTGAACAGGAATGTTAAGACTTGTATTTTCTATACAACCATTAATCCCCACCCTGTCAAATAAGATCAGGGAAACTGCAACAACCTGTTCCACTAAGTCAGCGTTTTGTATAAGATGAACTCAGGATTGGAGCTTGAGTTCACATTCTGAATCAACAGTCTCATCTCTAGTAAGCATCTCAAATTGTGGTACTATTGCAGGGCTTTTCCCGTTGCCCCATCCCAATGAATCTGTCCGCTTTAAAGGAAGCCATAATCTTCATTCTTCCACATCAATAACGTGTAACTGCAACTCGGTCCCTAATCCATGTATGAGTTCTAATGTACTTTTATCACCCAATTTGAGCGACTTACTTAAGCTATGGTGCCTTTGTTTTGTCCTGTATTTACAGTCAGAATAAGAAGACACTGTTTTTTATTGAAATGTGTGTTTGCGGTTATATTAGCAACTTTAAATGTTGCGGGTTGTTTGTTATGCAGGAGTTTCCAATGATATATTTTATGAATTGAGACATGATACAACTTGTTTTAGGTTTGGGTATAAGATTTTTTTCTTTACTCCAATATTCTTGCTGATGTAAAACAGTAGTGGTATATATTTACAGTGCCTTTTATAGATCCATAATGCAGAGAGCATATGAAAAGGAATAATGGCTTTGTTTTGGTGCAGGATGTTTACATACACGTCTTCTAAAATATAGACAATCTGTAGTGTAGAAGGGTTCAGTTGGATTTATGTAACCGTTCTGTGCCTCTGTCCAATTTCCTGATGTACAATATATATATTGCTTTAAATGAGGAAATGGGACTGTATTTATGATGTGCAAATAATCATGGGGAAACTAAAAGTTGTACAGTTTATGTACCGATTGCTTTTGATTTAGTAAAATGTTTGAAATAGATTGTGTCAGTGTCTTTTTTTCTTCAAGCACAAACTGTACTCAGCCATTCATTTACTCTTAACTCTCTTTTATTACAGCGGTTTACTTTAATGCATTGCCGTGCTTTAGTCTTTTATCTTAACGTTGGGGAAATGGACATGAAATTGGACCTTCGTTTACCCTGAAGCACAAACATTAAAGAGGTCTTGTATCACAGGTGTTATTACCCTAATGAAGTGATCAGTTCATCACTAAAGTACTGGGATATCTGTTTTATTTATTTCATTGCTGTTCTGTCCCTGTTTTGGGGGATATTTGTTAATCCTTTCTATCACATAAATGATATGTAAATAGGTTTAAAGTGGAGTGAATGGGAGCATGGCTACATAAACTGCTGTGCTGTAACCTTAGTGTCATACATTTGAGGATATAACATTTACTCACACTGGAATAAACTGAGTAAACTTGAGCTCTACACTTTTTACATTTCAAAATAGAGAACTACAAATAGCATTGCTAGGCACCTTAAGACAGCCTCTAAAAGCACAGTGACATGGCTGATAAACTTCATTTAAACCACCACATTCTCTTGTTCCTAGGACAACAGAAACACAGGCTCCAGATTAAAGTCAATGCAGGTTTCAAGGTGAATGGGAAGCCTTGAGGGTTCCGTCAGTAGCGGAGTCTGGCTCTCTGGAATTCCAAACAGAACATTAGCGAGACAAAATAACTAAGGCTTCTTTGTCAGTATATAAACTGTCTGTCCTTGCTCTAATGCGACCCCATGGACTTACTGCTGAGATCGACAGTATCCTGAGGGACTTCCAGTATTTAACCCAGGTTCAGATAGTCAAACTATTTTTATACCTTTCCTCCTCTTCTCTCCTTAGAGCTCCTTTCCCTGATGATAATAGACTACACGGGTCATTTTAGCATCATTTATTTAACCCAGTGGTAGTTCTTCCAGTGAAGCTACGTGAAGTTTAGCCTGGCACTTTATAACGCTGCAGTAAACTTTCTATTATATCAATAACTGATTCTTCTTTAAATGTTTAACTGTTCAGACCAAATATTTAGATTACACCACTTTGGGCTGTGGGGAGCTCTGATAACTGGAGTGCTGGTGAGAACAGACTTTACAGGACAGAAAGACCTGTGTTTTCTCTCTTGAGTTTCAAGGGGGAACGAGATGAAGGAAAATACAGACCCGTCTCCCGAGGCCAGGACAGAGCACAGTCTCAAATCTTAAGATATTTTTAAAAAGGCCAAAAGGGTAGTTATTGGAGTAAGCCCACAGTAAGGCTGTAAGGAGTCACAGCTTTGTGTGAGTTAAACACTACAGTAGAAGAGGAACCACAGCAATAAGTGACAATTTACCTTTCTGAGAAAAAGAACTGGATGTGACATTTTCAGATCGTCTCACTGCCAGACATGACAGTTTGTGTTAGAGTTTATCTGGTTATAAAAGGCAGATAGTGATGACAAGGCTTTAGACAGATTATCTGCAATGTGTGCCAATATTCTTTCTGCATTTTTCATCCCAAACATTCTCAGTGTTCCCCCCAGAATTAGGTCCTGTCACTTAGAATGAGCTCACAAAACTTCACTCCATCACGAGACACTAAAACAAAGGACAGGAATTATGCTTTGAAATGATTGGATCAGTTGGCTAATGCAACAGTCGTCAATATCCAAACTTTCATCAAACATTAGTAAAGGCTTTTCTACTTTGTTCAACAGCTTTACCACTCATTTCAACTGTACTTTTCATCCTGGTATTCTTTTGTCTTTGTTCTTGTTGCATTACCCAGACGATAGTGGGATCTCTCTGGCAAAGGAAAATACTAAATATTGATGAGCTTTTCGAAGTGAATGAGGATCCTAAGATGCCCCACCTGTACTGTGATGCTTTAGTCAATAACCATTCTGGCTCTGTGAGACTTGTGGAGGAGATAAGAGTTTATAGATTACAAGTTTTGGGCCTGCCTTTATCTCCTGCTCCCATCTTCTTCCCCTTCACTCTTCTCATCCCCATCTACCACTCTCACTGAGGGTGTTACAAAGGGAAAATGGTGTTATATAAATCCATGAATCATTGAGTGTTTATGATCTAAATGTGTTAATGTGTTTCTAACTACATAATCAGTGGCTTTATTGTATAATGAAGAGCTAGTATTGTAGTGAGATCTCAACTGTCAAGCAGGAATGTTTGAAATAAGTAAGTAAACTATTCTATTAGTTTATATACAGCACTTTGCAAAACAGTAGCAACAGTTGGATTTTAAATTAAGAATGATGATAGAAAAACATACCACAATAAAATGAAATATTTCAGAAAATGTAGACTTGTGCTGGTTTAGGTTGGTGGTGGCATATCCTGCAATGTGCCATTAAAGGCAGTGACTTTATTCTGCCAGCAGGGGGCAGCATTGATCAGGAAACAGGGAGCATTTGGTAAATAATAAAGTGACATTGTGGAACTGAGGAGAAGTGTGATTTCTATTTAGATAAAAATGTCCACATTCTGACAACACTTTCAATATTAAACTTATTTTTCAAATATAATATATGTCTATGCATTTACACTCCTCACACTAAAGGACAAGTTTAGAGCAACACTGGAAGGGATTTCTTTAACACTTTCTTTTTTTTATTAGTTCTGACCTTTTGTATTGAACTTTTTTTTTTTTTATCTTGTTAATGTCTTGCTGTTACTCAGAACCTTATTTTAAACCAGTTTGTCCGGGGTGCTACATACTTTTAGTAAATAAAGTTCTTTGACAGAAATATCCAAATAGCTCAAAAATACACTGGACTGACTCGGAACAAAGAGTGTAGAAGGCCGTGACAAAAAGCTGCAGAATTCAGGAAGACCATATACCAGTTCCACTTAATTTCCAAACTCAGGTCCAGTTTAGGCCTTGTCCAAAGGGGTCGAAACTGAAAACAGAGCAAATCAAGTCTTAAAGACCAGACATCAACAAGAGAAGCCACTTGTTACTTTTGTAATTTGTGGTTCTTGGGATCAAATAAATAAAGAACCCATTAAATAGAATGACTCATGTTTTTCAGACAAACTTCTGGAGTAAGCTCTCTGAACTCTAGAGGACCTCTGTATGCATGCAACCTTGTCAGGTTTAAGCTTAGTCAGGTAAAAAAGAGATGGAGAGGTGAGGAGACCCAGTTGTCTGCAGAGAGGTAGGGATAGCAGAGGTGATTATAGTCTCTTTCACGGCCTGTTGCCTCTCGCAAATTACATTTACTGGGGAATGGCACCTGTGTTGATTGGTACACCGCGGAAAACTCCCGTACCGGACGAGGGGAGCAAAATTACACTCCATCTCTTTCAGTCTGCATACTTTATTATCGCCAAATCCCAAGTTGACATTCTCAATCGAGCCAGGGAAAACAATGTGAAAATAGAGATGGGAAGTGTTTCTTGCTCTGGAGGTGAAATTGTTCTAATGTGAAATCATCCACAACTTTTTCTACCTCAGGAACATTTCTATGCCACATTTTAACTTTTCTAATTGGTTACCAGCACTCTTCATTTGTATTTAGATATCTAGCCTATGCATATACTAACATTTAATATCACTAATCATTGCTGTAATTAGTAAAGTTAGTATTGCTTGAAAATTCCTGGACTAAAGGTCCTGACTAATCTTAACATCACAATAACATTATTCCCCAAGTCCCCATCAGTATGTTTCTCTTCTACAGTGTGCTGTCTGAATGCTGTCTGTGCAGAGTTTGACTCTAGAAGGATGTTTTCACATTCATCTGCTGAAAGTGGAAAGTTTCTCTGTGCTCATTGAAAACCTGATTTTAAGGGGCGGGGCCTACCAGCAGGATTTGTCACAAATAGTTAGGAAGTCAATCCTGGTCCAGTATGCAACTTGTACAGTGCGATGTAGAAACTTGAAGCCACCAGTGCACATCCACTGAGAATGGACTTTACAGTGAAGGAGGAGACATCTTGTGTCCAACAGGAAAACTTTAGAAATGAACAACATTTATATATTCAGAGATTCTGGAGGTTTTAATGAGGTCGAAGGTGGAGATGACTGTTTAGGGATTTTAATGTGGAAATTATATTTTATATTTTTTTATTGCATGTCAGACACAAATTATTCTTCTTATTTTCCATTTGATTTTATTTGTGTAGTGCCAATTCACAACAAACGTTATCAGGGATAGGATTATATGTACAGAGAATACTGTTTTGGTCTTAAAATTATTAATTAAATTTAATTTCAACAGTTGTCACTTGAACATTTAAATAGAGCTTATATTGTATTATTTAAGTTTATAAACTGTATGACCTAGCATGGAGATTTTTCCAAGATGAAGGGTAGTTTGGTTCTTTTCTAGCACTCAGAGCTAATTCCTTCTTTTAGCGACTTTTTGCTGAACCATTAGTTGTTCACACACTAGCTACAGTAGCATTAGCAGTTCCTCTGCTGCTCCTCCCTGCTCAGTGTGTCAGATGCGTAGTTATTCCTCTGCCTCTTTTAGTGATAATGGTACCTGTATTAAGTGTTATTTCTTTACTGTGTTGGAGGCAAGGCTTAGTGAACTAGAAGCACGGCAGCGCAATGCGGAAGAATCTTTAAACGCTTCTCTGTGCTTCCATTAAAACAGTTACCCACCCAAAACCCCATAGAGACAGATGAAATGTGGACTATTAAACATCAGGTCTCTGTCTTCTAAAGCTGTTCTAGAGAATTCATTAATATCAGATTATGATATTGATTTACCCCCCTCCTGTCATATTAATACTCGAGGCACCGGCCGAGGAGGTGGAGTTGCAGCCATATTCAATCCAAGCTTTTTAATTAATTCTAAATCATATTTCATTTGAAAGCCTTGTTCTTAGTCTTTCTCACCCAAACTGGAAAACACTGCAGCCAGTTCTATTTGTTATAGTGTACCGCGCTCCTGGACCGTACTCTGATTTTCTATCTGAATTCTCAGAGTTTTTATCAAGTTTAGTCCTTAAATCAGATAAAGTAATTA